TGTTAAAAGAGGATTATGATATAGTAGCAATCAATGCATGCCATTTTTCCTGAAATTGGAATTATTTACACATTTCCAGGAGAAGAAACAGAGAGAATAGATTTTTTTTTTAAAAAAAATTGATTTGATTTAGCCCCAGACCGAATGTTTGTAGCCTTCTTTAATATTTTAAGTGGTTTAGTTTTTTTAACATTTAATACAATTTCTAGCTGCCTTTCCATCTTCGCTTGGGAGACGTCCAGAATCGGTGAAAAGACGAGTGGCCCTATAAATATTTTAAATCAATTGATTAAATTAAAGGGAGGGGGGACATTAATCCAGGCAAGAGGAGCAGCTCTAAAATCAGGATTGCTTTTTTAAAAATCTCCTGTTAATCTTCCCATCGGATCTTCCTCCTGACTTTCCCGGTGTTTCTTGAGTGCCAATAAAGAAAATCGAAATGTTTCAATTTTTGGAAAATTTGCAAGGCCTTTCTTTCTTCTTGCATTTCTCTAGATTTGGGTCGTTTGGGGGGGGCTTTATTCCAGAGTGTGATAAAAAAAAAAAAAACCCTGGAGAATGAACGTATTTTCACATTAATCTGGCTGGGAGTTATTCTTTTGCCTTAGACATGGAAGGCGGCTGGGTGACTTTGGGCCATTCACCAGGAGACCGTGAGTTCTAGTAGCACTTTAGGACAAAACCCAGCTGGGTGACTTTGGGTTGTTTGTGGGGAAAATAGGACGAGGAAGTGGTATTAGGAATGTCTTTCTTTCTTTCTTTCTTTCTTTCTTTCTTTCTTTCTTTCTTTCTTTCTTTCTTTCTTTTTCTTTCTTTCTTTCTTTCTTTCTTCCTTTCTTCCTTCCTTCCTCCCTCCCTCCCTGTCTTTCCCTCCCTCTTTCTCCCTCCCTCTTTCCCTGCCCCTCCCTCCCTCCCTTCCTTCCTCCCTCCCTCCCTGTCTTTCCCTCCCTTTCTCCCTCCCTCTTTTCCTTCTTTCCTCCCTCCCTGTCTTTCCCTCCCTCTTTCTCCCTCCCTCTTTCCCTTCTTTCCTCCCTCCCTGTCTTTCCCTCCCTCTTTCCCTGCCTCCCTCCCTCCCTCCCTTCCTTCCTCCCTCCCTCCCTCCGTCTTTCCCTCCCTCTTTCCCTTCCTTCCTCCCTCCGTCTTTCCCTCCCTCTCCGTCTTTCCCTCCTCTTTCTCCCTCCCTCCCTTCCTTCCTTCCTTCCTCCCTCCCCTCCCTGTCTTTCCCTCCCTCTTCCTCCCTCCCTCTTCCCTGTCTCCCTCCCTCCTTCCTTCCTCCCTCCTCCCTCCCTTCTTTCCTTCCCTCTTTCTCCCTCCTCTTTCTTTCCTTTCCTTCCTTCCTTCCTTCCTTCCTTCTTTCCGTCCTTTTTCTCCAGAGTTTTCAAGAAGTCAAATTACTTCCCAGCTTGCTCGGAGTCAAAGCAATAAAATACTCTACCATTTCTCCTGCCCATAACCTCTTTCTCCTTTCCTATGTAATTTCTGCCTCGGGCACTAGAACAGATCCATCGAAAAAAGTAAGAGAGAGAGGTGGGGGGAGGAGGGTAGGAGGGAGGGAGGGAGGGAGGGAGAAGTATGTGTGAGAGAGAATAGATAGATAGATAGACAGAGAGAGAGAGAGACAGACAAATGTGTGAGAGAGAGATGGAGGAAAGGATAGAGAGAGATGGGTATGTTGAGAGAGGATGGATGGATAGATGATAGAGAGAGACAGACAGACAGATACAAATGAGAAAGATGGAGGGAGGGAGAGGTATGTGAGAGAGGATAGATGATAGATAGATAGATAGATAGATAGATAGATAGATAGATAGATAGATAGATAGATAGATAGAGATGATGGATGGATGGATACATGATAGATTAGATAGATAGATAGATAAGATGGATAGATAGATTAGAAAAGATGAGAAAGAGAGATAAAATAGAGAGAGAGAGATATGTTGGATGGAAGATAGATAGATAGAGATAGATAGATAGATAGATAGATAGATAGATAGATAGATAGATAGATAGAGACAGACAGACAGGACAGACAGACAGACAGATTAAGAGGAAGGGGAGGTGGGGTAGATTAACCAGGTTTGACCCAGATCCTGATGGGCAGGTGGAACAGAGGAGGAGGGGATTATGGGAGGACTAATCCCTGTCTAAAACAGGATTTACCTGCAGGGTAAACCTCACCAAAGGAAGGCTGGAAAAATGGCTTAGTGTGACCAGCTCGGCATTGCGGAGAAGGACAACAGTATTCCGGGATACAAAGGGTTGTGGGTTCTTGAGGGCATGTGTGTGTGAATGTGGTTTGAGTGGGTGTGTGGTTAGTGACACAGCCTTCCTTCCTTCCTTCCTTCCTTCCTTCCTTCCTTCCTTCCTTCCTTCCTTCCTTCCTTCCTTTTTCTTTCTTGCTTTCTCTCACTTGCTCTCTTGCCCTTCTTCCTTCCTTCCTTCTTTCTCTTTCTTTCTTCCTGTCTGTCTCTCTCTCTCTCTTAATTTCTCCTTCTTTCATTTCTTACTTCTTTCTTTTTTTCTCTCTTTCTTTTCTTTCCATTTTTCCTTCCTTTCATCTCTCATACATCTCCTCCCTCTTTTTTTTCTTTCTTTTTCCTTTCTCTCTTCTTTTTTCTTAAATCGTTACTTTCTCCTTCCTTCCTTCTTTCCTTTTTCCTTTTTTCTTCCTTCCTTCCCTCCCTCCCTGCACCATCCTTGGCATTCTGACTTTTTGCTGCAAACACTCTTATTACACAGCACAAAACGAACTGTTTTTACCCCACCTTCAGCCGGTCTTTAAATCTGCAGAGTCAGAGAGGAGAAACCAAGGCCAGCTGTTCCCAGATCTGGCCATTCCCCCCCCCACTCCTTCTTTGTGTGTGTGTGTGTGTTTGTGTGTGTGTGTGACAATTCCTAGGCCCTTCTGCTCATTGACCCTCCACAGGCAAGATGGAACATCCTTTAGATAGATAGATAGATAGATAGATAGATAGATAGATAGATAGATAGATATAATATTATCCTAGATTTTAAAATAGATATATTTTAAAATCTAGAATTGTGAGGCCAAGAAAAAAATGGCAACCAATTTGGGAGTGAAGCACAGCAGTGACTGCCCCCACCCCTGAATTTTTGGAGGGCAGATTTTTTTATCTGGGGGAGCAGGGAGGGGGCGCACGGCCTGGATACTCTCCTCCATTCGATGACCAAGCAAACAAACCAGTATTGTCTTTTTGAAAGGAAACACAGGGGGCTCCAGGGAGGATTACAGAATTTCCAAAAGTTTCTGTGCCCTCCCCTCCCTCCTCCAGGAATTTGGGGGGGTCACCCTCACCCTCCTCCAGGATCAGGGCCCTAAAGTGAAGACACCACTACCAGCACCCCGTTCTTCCACATGGTTTTCCCCCAGCCTCCCTACTTGGAAAAGGAGGTGGGCTTTCTCCTTGTTTAATTCCCCCAAACACCCTGGAGACTTGGAAGAAAATGGGGGGATTTCCCCCCCCCCCATTTTTAATTTGTGGGAAGCCACATTTTGGGGGTCTGGAGAGGGAGAGAATTAGAGATGCTCCTTCCAAGCTGGATGTTGCAATCGCCCACCCCAAAAACCTCTTTTGTTAATCAGACTCTTTTTGGATGGGGGACTGCCACCCCCAAAAAGAGTCTGAATAACGAAAGAAGTTTTTGGGGTGCGACCTTGGCTTGCTAAGCAAGCACCACTCTGGAATTGGGGAGGGGGTCTCCAGGAGGCTCTGGATGAAATGTGAGAGAAGATTTGGGGGGGTGCAGAAGAAGAGGAAAGTAGCGGAGATTGAAAAAGAGTGGTGGGCCGGATCTGGGCCCTTCTTTGTGTCTGCTTTGCCCCTCAAAACTCACCCCAAAAGAGAGGAGCTCATCTCTCTGACCCCCTGACCTTGGGGGAACAGGCTCTCCTCTGCCCCACACCCCAAGGAGATGCTTGCCCTCCCAAGGACAGGCTCAGCCAAACTTCCTCAGGGCGAGGGAAACCCCCAACCCCAATTCCATGTGGCTTGCCCCCCACTTGGTGGGGTGGGGGGGGGACAGCAAGGCCTGCTTTCCTTAATGCCCAGATGAAGGGGGTGTCAGAAGAAAAGGAGGTCCCGCTTGCCTCTCTAGGATTGGAAACCCCTCCAGCAGCTCTCCCTCCCTCCTTCTCTCATCTATCTAATCACTCTCTGTCTCTTTCTCTCTGTATCTATCTATCTCTCTCATCTCTCTCCCTCTCATGTCTCTTTCTATCATCTCTCCCATCTCTCCATCTCTCTCACCCTCTCATCTCTCTGTTTTTCCCTCCCTCTCTCTCTCATCTCTCTCTTCCCCCTCCCTCATCTCTCTATCATCTCTCTATCCATCCATCCATCATCTACCTCCTCTCCCTCTATCAAACTCTCTCTCTCCTTCCTCTCATCTCCCCCCCTCACTCATCTTCCCCATCTCTCTCTCTCTCTTTCTCTTTCTCTCTCTCTCTCTTCCCCCTCCCTCCATCCATCATCTACCTCTATCAAACTCTCTCTCTCCTCTCCTCTCATCTCCCCCCCTCACTCATCTTCCCCATCTCTCTCTCTCTCTCTTTCTCTTTCTCTCTCTCTCTCTTCCCCCTCCCTCCATCCATCATCTACCTCTATCAAACTCTCTCTCTCCTCTCCTCTCATCTCCCCCTCACTCATCTTCCCCATCTCTCTCTCTCTCTCTTTTCTTTCTCTCTCTCTCTTCCCCCTCCCTCCATCCATCATCTACCTCTATCAAACTCTCTCTCTCTCTCCTCTCATCTCCCCCCCTCACTCATCTTCCCCATCTCTCTCTCTCTCTTTCTTTTCTTCTCTCTCTCTTCCCCCTCCCTCCATCATCTACCTCTATCAAACTCTCTCTCTCCTTCTCTCTCTCATCTCCCCCCCTCACTCATCTTCCCCATTCTCTCTCTCTCTTTCTCTTTCTCTCTGTCTCCAGGGCTGTGGGGAATCCAAGGAAGGTGGGGGCGACCGGGGTGGGGGTCTCACCTGGCTGCATCGGCGGCGCCTGCGGGGCTTGGCGACCCGCTGCCTCCCCAGGCATGACGAGGGGCGCTTCCGGGACACCCTCTCCCCTTTCCACCGGCCGGCTTTTTTCTCGGGGCGGGGGTCCTCCGGCCGGCCGGCTGGCTGAGATTGGGGGCGGGGGGGGGGGGGTCTGCGCCGCCGGCCGGGGGGGAGAAGGGGGGGGGGGGGGGGGAGGAGGGGGCGGGCCAGGAGCCCACCGAGGCTGCGCGGTGGCGAGGAAGGCTCGCTTAGTAGGATGGGTGGGCGGGGGTCGCACGGCTGGTGATCCAGGATGGGATGCCCGGCTGAGATGCGGAGCGCTCCGTCATCCCGGCTGATGTCAGCGGCGGTGGAGCTTCTTCTGGTCCAGCCCTCCCGCCTTCCTCCCCCCTCCCTCCCGGAGTGGGGGGGGGGGAGGGGAAGTGGGGGGGGGGGGGGGGGCGGGGAGGCCAGGGGGCGAGGGGGGGGGGGGGGGGGGGGGGGGAGGGGGGGGGGGCGGAGGTGGCTTTGGAGGCTGGACCGTTGCATCAGCCCGGCGGCGGCGGGGCAAGGGGAGCGGTCAGCGGTGGATCCGTTTGAACCCCGGGAAAAAAGGGGGTGCGAACCAAAGCATCAAGGCAGGGCTTGCACTCCTCAAAAAAGGGGGTGTGAGCCTTAGCAGCAGCAGCGAAAGATGGGGTGCGAGCCTCAGGAGCAAAAGAGGGCATCCTGGGCAAAAGGAGTTGCATTCCTTAGCAGCCCACAAGCAAACAGAAAAGGGGGGTGCAAGCTTTAGAAGCAACGCAGGGCTCACACTCTGCAAAAGAGGGGGTGCAAGCCTCAGGTGCAGCAGCAAAAGAGGGTTTGCACCCCACAAAAAAAGGGGGGGTGCAAGCTGAGCAACAAGACGAAGCTGCTTCCCCACAAAAGAGGGGGTGCAAGACTCAGTAGCAAGGCAACGCTTGCACCCCACAAAAAAGGGGTTGCCAACCGCCGCCAAGTACCACTTTTGCACCCTGGAAAAAAGAGGATGCAAGCCTCAGCAGCAGAGACTCAGCTCAAGCCCCCCAAAAAAGGATTTTTTTTTGACAAGCCACCAGTAGCAGTAGCACCCTGTAAAAAAGAGGGGGGTCACAAGCCCACCAAAGGCAGAGGGGAAAGGAAGGGGGTCCCCCTTGGTGGGGGAGAGCATGGGGTGGGGCCACTTGGGTCCCAGATGCAATGTATCCCCCAAAAGAAAAGCTTCTTCTGTTTCTTCCCAAAAAGGCAGATTTGGGGGGTGCGTCACAACATCCCTGCAAGGTGGGCCAAGGAACAAAAAGACCGACGTATCCATTCGGGGTCCACTCTGATTCAGACATCCAACAGTGGACTCCCCCCTCCCTCTCCCCATCCAGTGTGATCCCCTCCTTTTGCTATTTGGGGTGTGGGGGTCTCCTGCTTCCCCCCAAATCATTCCCAAGAAGGCAATCCCTGCACAGGCAGAAAAACGAAGGAGACTTACAGGTGGTCCTCGACTTATGACGGTCTGTTTAGTGACCGTTCCAAGTGACAATGGCCCCAAAGGAAAAAAATGGGGTCATTTTTCATATTTAACTACCATGGCAGCATCTTCCCTTGGGCCAGGTGATCGACTTGCGGACAGCTCGGCCACTGATTCATAGTTATGACAGTCGCAGTGTCCTGGGGTCCCGTGAACAATGTCAAGTGGGGGGAAGCCCGATTCACTGAACGATCATGTGACTAATCGAAGAAGTGCAGGGATTCACTTAACAACGGTGGCAACCAAGGTTATTCCGTGGGGCAAGGCTCCCTTAACAAAGGTTCTTGCTTAGTGAACAGAAAGGTTGGTCGTAAATTAAGGACTGCCTGGATTTCTCTTGGAAAGCAGACCAAAAAAACCTTGTTTGTTTTTTTGCTTCTCTATCTAGCCTAATATTTGGATTTCCTGGTGGCCTCCCATCCTGAGGCAAAAAAACGCACAAATTGATCTAATTTTGGACATTGAAGTTGGATCAGTGCTGCCACCTTGCGGCAACATTGTAAATTGGGGGGAGGCTGGATTGGATGACCTCTTCGTACCTCATTTTATGAGCTGAAAATGGGATATGAAGGCATGGAGGATCGAATTGTGAAAATTGTGAGAAAATGGGTTTTTGGTCTGAGTGCTTTTGTGAGTCTTTGTGGGTTGCCAGTTCCTCGCTTGTGTGCCTCGGTGGGTCTTTGTGTGTGTGTTTGAACCAATATATTTGTCTTTTTGTGTGTGTGTTTTGTTTGTTTCTGTGTGGCTGTGTGTAAATCTGTGTGTCTGGGGGTCTCTGTGTATATTTCTGTATTTTATCCATTCATCCATCTTGTATCTATCCATCACATCTACCTATTCATCCTCTCTCTCTCTCTCTCTCTATCTATCTACCGGTATCTATCTATCTAATCTATCATCTCTGCATCCATCATCTTTCCACAGTCACTTATTTATCTACCTATTTATTTATCTATTTTAGGATTTGGACTAAAAGACTTCCAAGATTCCTTCCAACTCTGTGTTCAGTTATCCCTCTCTCTTTCTCTCTCTCTCTCTCCCTCCCTCCCTCCCTCCCTCTCACTTTCTCTCTCTCTAATCTCTCTCTCTCTCCCATCCATCCATCCATTCATCCCCTGCCTTCTGAAAGTTTGAAAAATATAGTAACCCATAAACAAAATTTAATCCCTCTTGGCATTGTGGTCAGAAACTCTTCCGGCAGGACTTTTCCACGGTTACGTTTTGCCAAAAAGAGCAGTCAGTACTGTAAAAGATGGGTTAATCCTGGTTTCCGTCAGCCTTGGATGTCATTTAAGAAAGCTGGACAAAGGGTGGCTTACAAAAACGACCCTGGGGACACGTGCATGGCATGTTTCACCCTTGTGATATGTATGTGCGTGTCGGGACCTGGGGACCTAGGAGGAAACATCCCATTGGCCTTTGCAGGTGTCATCACCAGGCGGTTGCTATAGAAACTGCCTCCTGGTCCTCCTACCTTTTATCTCCATGGTGACAGGCAGGGAAACCCTGCTTAGGGATGGCAGCTGAAGAGGAAGAAAGCAATGGTTGTGCGTTGCCATCTTTGTGCATCCTTTTGGGGGGGGAAGGGGGCTTGCATTTTGGGGTGGTGCATGGTTTGGGGGGGACACAGGTATTTCGGGGGAGGATGACACAGCAGGAGGAATTTCTCAGGGACCCTCTGCTCTGCACCAAGACTTGGTACGAGCCTCCATGTGAAACCATGGTTTGCCTAATGCAGCATCCCCGCAAAGATATCATGGTTGCAACAGGCTCAGAATCCTGGTCTTCATCAAACCTTAAAAGAGGGTTAGATTTTTGCCTCCAGAGGACAGTGAGGATCAGGGTGGAACTTGGGGCTCGCGGGTTTCTTGCAGACGTTTCATGACCCAACTAGGGAGTTTCATCAATGCTAGAAGGAAGGAGGAGGAGGAGGACTGTGGGTAATCTTGGTTGTTGTTTTTTTTGCAGATGTTTTGTGACCCAACTAAGGAACGTCATCAGTGCCAGAAGGAAGGGGATTACAGAGATGGAAGAGGAGGGAGAATACAAGGAGGAAGAGAAGGAAGAGGTAGAAGAAAGACATAAATACGGAGACAGAAAGATAGATGGATTGAAGGAAGGAAGGAAGGGAGGGAGGGAGGGAGGGAGGGAAAAGTGAAAAAGGAAGGAAGGAAGGAAAGAAAAAGTGAAAAAGAAGGAAGGAAGGAAAGGAAGGAAGGAAGAAAGGAAGGAAAGAAAAAGTGAAAAAGTAAGGAAGGAAAAAGTGAAAAAGGAGAAGGAAGGAAGGAAAGAAAAAGTGAAAAAGGAGAAGGAAGGAAGGATGGAAGGAAGGAAAGAAAAAGTGAAAAAGGAAGGAAGGAAAGAAAAAGTGAAAAAAGGAGAAGGAAGGAAGGATGGAAGGAAGGAAAGAAAAAGTGAAAAGGAGAAGGAAGGAAAGGAAGGAAGGAAGGAAGGAAGGAAGGAAGGAAGGAAGGAAGGAAGGAAAAAGTGAAAAAGGAGAAGGAAAGAAAAAGTGAAAAAGGAGAAGGAAGGAAGGAAAGAAAAAGTGAAAAAGGAGAAGGAAAGAAGGAAGGAAGGAAGGAAGGAAGGAAAGAAAAAGTGAAAAAGGAGAAGGAAGGAAGGAAGGGTGGCTGGGAATCCAGTGAGTTATTGTTAAGTTAAGCTGGGTGAAGCCCTCGCTCAGTCTTGAGAACCTGGCAGATGGAAGATGGGTGGACTTCAACTCCCAGAATCCCCCAGCCCGCCATCTTTTGATTGTGTTCTTGATTTTCTCCACACTTCAAGGATTGTCTGATGCAAAATGCCTTTATTGGTTCATCGGCCGCAAGGAGCCCAAACCTTGTCAAATTAACCCCAATTGGCTCCGGGATCTTGGTGACTTGCAGTACAACAATTGTGAAGGGAATGCACTTATCATCACGATTTTGCTGAGCCACAAATTTCCCCCGCCCAAATAAAAGTTGATTAAAGTGGATTAAAGAAATTGAAGTCACTCGAAATAAAAAAAAATGAGTTTTTTCCTCCGATTTTCCACAAATTTGGCACATTCCACATTTACATTCAAACTGTAAAATACATGAATTTGAACTCGGACCCTTTCGGCCACAAAGGTGAAACAAATAGGATAGTCCTCGATTTACGATCACAAGGGAACCCAATGTTTCGGCCACTAAGCGAGACAATTGTTCGAAGTGAATTTTGTCCCAAGTTAGAACCTTTCTTGGCCCAGTTGTTAAGTGAATCACACAGACATTAAGTGAATCCGTCTTATCTGTTGACTTTTGGCTCGTCAAGCGCTCACAAGAGGGATCATGTGACCGTCGTAAATACGAGTCGGTTGCCAAATGTCGGAGTTTGGATCACAAGGCCAAGGGAATGTTGCGACGGTCATAAGTGTGAAACACGGCCCTAAGTCCCTCCAACCGTCATAAATGTGAGTCGGTGGCCAAATGTTCCAAATCCAGGGAATCCTCCACTTATCAACAGTTCGTTTAGTGAGAGTTCCAAGTTACAACGGCACTGGGAAAAGGGACTTAGGATCTTTGTTTGCACTTAATGACCGTCGCAAATTCGGAAGCTTGGAAACCTCCAATTTATGAAGGTTGCAGCACAACCTAGCCTCCCGTTATCCTCTTAGCGACCAGTCAATGAATGACCGTGCACCTCCCTTTAAAAAAACCCTGTGATTCGCTTAACAACTGTGGCAAGAAAACATCATAAAACAGAGCAAGATTCGCTGGAAGAAACGTCTCGCTTAGCAACCAAAATTTGCAAACTCTGCAACGGTCGTAGGAGGAGGAGTAGCGCTATGTGCCGGCTGCCGAGCGCCCCCAATTTGATTATTGTGGTCTTGTGAGGAATGGTCATAAGTCTCTTTTGGGAGAGGGGGCATTGTAACTTTGGTCGCTAGATGGACGGTCATAAGTAGAGGACCACCCCCCCTCCTGATCCTGAGGAGACCTCCGCCCCACTTTTGAAAACCCTGAAATCCAGGAAGACCAATTCTGTACAAAATAATCATTTAATTCCACGCGATTTCACATTTACTCGCACTTTACACCCGGTTGCAAAGCTCTAGTCCGCTAAATCTTTGGCGAGGGCTTTCTGCATCTTGTCTTTAAGATATTGGGTCTTCTTCCACTCTGTGTTCAGGTTGAACCATTCGTGGTAAGGAACCTGGGGAGGAAAAAGAGAGAAGATTCGGATTTCCAGGAAGATGGGGAATCAGAGTGTTGGAAGGGATCTCAGAGGTCATCTAGTCCAACCCACTGCTCGAGGAGATTCTTAAAGAATCATAGGATAATGGAAGGGATTCGAGGTCATCTAGTCCAACCCACTGCTCGAGTTCCTTAAAGAATCATGGAATAATGGAAAGGACCTCAGAGGTCATCTAGTCCAACCCCTGCTCGAGGAGATTCTAAAGAATCATAGGATAATCGAGGAGATTCAGATTCAGAGGTCATCTAGTAGATAGAGAATCAGGAACTAGCAACCCACTGCGTTCCTTAAAGAATCATGATATAGACCTCGAGAGACTCAGAGAGCCTATAGACAAACGAGGGATCTTAAAGAATCATACGATAATGGAAGGACCTTGGGGGTCATCTAGTCCAACCCACTGCTCGAGGAGATTCTTAAAGAATCATAGGATAATGGAAGGGACCTTGGGGGTCATCTAGTCCAACCCACTGCTCGAGGAGATTCTTAAAGAATCATAGGATTAATGGAAGGGACCTTGGGGGTCATCTAGTCCAACCCACTGCTCGAGTTCCTTAAAGAATCATAGGAGAATGGAAGGGACCTCAGAGGTCATCTAGTCCAACCCCCTGCTCGAGCAGATCATAGGATAATGGGAGGGACCTCAGAGGTCATCTACTCCAACCTACTGCTCGAGCAGGAGACTCTGACAGAATCACAGAATGGGAAGGCACCTTGGAAGTCAACAACACATACATTTGGGGCTCAGCTGCAATCGTAACTCGAGGACTATCTGTAGAGTGAAGCAGAGAGATCCAAGGACCCCACCCTCCTCCTCCCAAATTCATGTATTTATCTATCTCTCCACCTGGATGTATCTATCATCCATTCACCATCCATTCGTCTGTCCATCCGTCCACCCATCTATACAGGCAATCCTCGTATCTCGATGTTTCATTTAGTGACCGTTCCGAACTGGGAAAAAACGGACTTAGGACCGTTTTTCCCCACCGATCAACGTTCAGACCCTCGGCACTGACTCGTATTTACGATGGTCGCAGGGTCCCCCGATCCCCTTTCGACGAGCCCCCCTCAAGGGGAATGACAGATTCGCTTAACGACCGTGTGGGCGACTCACCTCGACAACGATGAAGCCAGCAGTTTGGAGGTGCCGTCGCTCGAGAACGAAGCGGCCCAGAAGGTCTTTGCTCCGGCTGCTGAAGTTGGGGAACTCCCAGAGGAGGAAAGCCAGCCTGAAAGAAGGAAGGAACGAACGAAAAGAGAGGAAAGGGAGGGAGGGAGGGAAGGAAGGAAAAGAGAAGGAGAGTAGGAAGGAAGGAAAAGTAGGTAGGTAGGCAGGAAGGACAAAGAAGGAAGAAACAAGGGAAGGAGGAGGAGGAGGGAGAGAGCACAATGGAAGAAAAGGAAGAAAGGAAAAGAAGGAAGGAGGGAGGACAAAGAAGGAATGAAAGATAGAAGGAAGGAGATGGAAGGGAGAAAGAAGTGAGGGAGGAAGGAAAAGTGAGGGAATGTAGGTCGGAGGGATGGAACAGGAAGGAAGGAAGGGTAGGTAGGCAGGAAGGAAGGACAAAGAAGGAAGAAACAAAGGGAAGGAGGAGGAGGGAGGGAGAGAGCACAATGGAAGAAAAGGAAGAAAGGAAAGGAAGGAAGGCGGGAGGGAAGGAGGGAGGACAAAGAAGGAAGGAAAGATGGAAGGAACGAGATGGAAGGGAGAAAGCAGTGAGGGAGGAAGGAAAAGTGAGGGAATGTAGGTAGGAGGGAAGAAACAGAAAGGAAGGAAAAAAGGAAGGAAGAGAGGGAGGGAGGACAAAGAAGGAAGAAAGGAAAGAAAGAAGGAAAGGAAAAAAGGAAGAAGAAGGAAGGAAGCAAGGAAAAGAATGGTACAGAAAAAGGGAAGGAAGGGAAAGAGGGAGGGAGAGAGGAAGGAAAAAAAAGAAAAATCAAGCAGAGCTAGAAGAGGAGATTGTATATATAGAGAGAAAGCCAATTCCTCCTCCCTTTCGGCACTGATGCCGTAACCTAGTTGGGTCACAAGACATCTGCAAGTAAACCACCCAGCTCTCTCGGTTTCTGGATTTAACCACATTCCCTTTTTGTTACCTGACTATTTCTGGGGGGAGGGGGTCAGCTCCCCCCCACATTGCCTACCTGTAGGGAGGGTCTCACCTTCTCACCCCTGACGCCAAAGACTCTTTGGATGGCCGGTCCACAGATAAACCATCAAATTCGGCCACAGGGAGCGGGTTGTTTTCAGAGTCCAAAAGCATCTCAGCATCTACAAAGAGAGGAGAACAACTTAATTCTTCCTCCTACAGGAAGTCCTCAAGTTACAACCACAAGGGAGCCCCAGAATTTATGTCGCTAAGTGAGACACTGGCTAAGGCAGTTTTGCCACCTGCCTGGGCCCAGCCGTTAAGTGAATCCCTACAGTTGTTCAGTGAATCTGCCTTCCCCATTGCTCATCGGAAGGTCGCATGATACCCGGGACGCTACAACGGTCATAAATACGAGTCAGTTGAAGAGCAGTCCGAATTCGGATCACGCAACCCTGGGGACGGTCGTAAGTGTGTGAAAAATGGTCCTAAGTCACTGTTTTCAGGACTGCGGTAGCTTCGAACGGTGACTAAATGAACGGTGTAAGTCATGGCAGTTGCCCGAATTTGGAGCATATGACTGCTACGACGGTCATAAATGTGAGGATTTCCCCAGAATCCCTTATTTGTGGCCGTTGTAACTTCGAACGGTCGCTAAACGAACGGCGGTAAGTCAAGGGCGATCTGTAAATGGCAGTTGCCCAAATTTGCAGCATGTGACTGTGGCAACAGTCGTAAGTGTGAGGACTTTTCCTGAATTCTTTTCGCGGCCGTCGTAACTTTGAACGGTCACTAAACGAAAACAAAGAGACCTTGGCCCAGGGTGTAAGGGAAGCCAAGAGGCCCAAATTTGTTCAGCTTCTAAGGAGATGGGGCAGAGTGGACGATGGATTTCGGAACCGTTGCAGGTCCTCAGGAGCTATAGACAGTCCTGAACTTAGAACCATTCATTTAGTGACCGTCCAAAGATACAACGGCGCTGAAAAAAGAGCGTTTTTCACATTAGTGATCATCGCAGTGTCCCCGCGGTCAAAACGCGATCTTCTTTTGCAACCATCCAACGAGGAATGTCAAGGATTCGCTTCATGACCGCGTGGCTCACTTCCCGCTGCAGGGATTTGACGAACAATGGCGGCCAGAAAAGCCGTCATGATGGGGCCAAGTCTGACTTCACAAGAGTCTGGCTTAAGGACGGTCCTCGCGAGCTGTCGTTAAGTGGACGGCCTATAAGGAGGTGTCTCCTGCCAGGGGGTTGGACTAGAGGACCTCTAGAGTCCTTTCGAAGCGTACGTTCTGGCTTCTATGTACTTACAAATCTGAACTGAACCAAATTGACCGGTTGGGGATTCATTTAATGACCGGCGGGAGAAAGGTCGGAAAAGACAACCAAGGTCTCGCTTAGCGATGGACATTCGGGGCTAAACCGCAGTCGTAAGTCGAGGACTAGTTTTTTTCGAGCATTCAGGGAGCTGCAAGTCGAGATAGCTGGGATGCTAAGCCATTCCCCTCAACTGTTCGTGGGGTCCACCCCTGAGCCCCCCCCCACAAATCTGACCCGGGGCACTTGAGGGTCTCACCGAGCTTCCAGCCGAAGGGGGTGTGCACGTCGAAACGGACCTTTGCCTCGCCACCGGCCACCTTAGCGAGGATGGCGTTGACGTCGGTCTGGAGAGAAGTGGGGGTCCGGTCAACCCCCAAATCCTGGAGGGTCAGCTTATCTGGCGGTAGGAAGGGCCCGTCATAACCCGGAGACTCCAGTTGGGCCGTGGTGTTGATGTGCATAAGTTTGAGCCAGGAATTCTGACGGGCCGGAGTCCAATTCCCTGCAGCGATGTAAGAGAAGCGAGAAGAATCCAAGGGGTTGGAAGGGAAGGAAGGACAAAGAAGGAAGAAACAAAGGGAAGGAGGAGGAGGGAGGGAGAGAGCACAATGGAAGAAAAGGAAGAAAGGAAAGGAAGGAAGGCGGGAGGGAAGGAGGGAGGACAAAGAAGGAAGGAAAGATGGAAGGAACGAGATGGAAGGGAGAAAGCAGTGAGGGAGGAAGGAAAAGTGAGGGAATGTAGGTAGGAGGGAAGAAACAGAAAGGAAGGAAAAAAGGAAGGAAGAGAGGGAGGGAGGACAAAGAAGGAAGAAAGGAAAGAAAGAAGGAAAGGAAAAAAGGAAGAAGAAGGAAGGAAGCAAGGAAAAGAATGGTACAGAAAAAGGGAAGGAAGGGAAAGAGGGAGGGAGAGAGGAAGGAAAAAAAAGAAAAATCAAGCAGAGCTAGAAGAGGAGATTGTATATATAGAGAGAAAGCCAATTCCTCCTCCCTTTCGGCACTGATGCCGTAACCTAGTTGGGTCACAAGACATCTGCAAGTAAACCACCCAGCTCTCTCGGTTTCTGGATTTAACCACATTCCCTTTTTGTTACCTGACTATTTCTGGGGGGAGGGGGTCAGCTCCCCCCCACATTGCCTACCTGTAGGGAGGGTCTCACCTTCTCACCCCTGACGCCAAAGACTCTTTGGATGGCCGGTCCACAGATAAACCATCAAATTCGGCCACAGGGAGCGGGTTGTTTTCAGAGTCCAAAAGCATCTCAGCATCTACAAAGAGAGGAGAACAACTTAATTCTTCCTCCTACAGGAAGTCCTCAAGTTACAACCACAAGGGAGCCCCAGAATTTATGTCGCTAAGTGAGACACTGGCTAAGGCAGTTTTGCCACCTGCCTGGGCCCAGCCGTTAAGTGAATCCCTACAGTTGTTCAGTGAATCTGCCTTCCCCATTGCTCATCGGAAGGTCGCATGATACCCGGGACGCTACAACGGTCATAAATACGAGTCAGTTGAAGAGCAGTCCGAATTCGGATCACGCAACCCTGGGGACGGTCGTAAGTGTGTGAAAAATGGTCCTAAGTCACTGTTTTCAGGACTGCGGTAGCTTCGAACGGTGACTAAATGAACGGTGTAAGTCATGGCAGTTGCCCGAATTTGGAGCATATGACTGCTACGACGGTCATAAATGTGAGGATTTCCCCAGAATCCCTTATTTGTGGCCGTTGTAACTTCGAACGGTCGCTAAACGAACGGCGGTAAGTCAAGGGCGATCTGTAAATGGCAGTTGCCCAAATTTGCAGCATGTGACTGTGGCAACAGTCGTAAGTGTGAGGACTTTTCCTGAATTCTTTTCGCGGCCGTCGTAACTTTGAACGGTCACTAAACGAAAACAAAGAGACCTTGGCCCAGGGTGTAAGGGAAGCCAAGAGGCCCAAATTTGTTCAGCTTCTAAGGAGATGGGGCAGAGTGGACGATGGATTTCGGAACCGTTGCAGGTCCTCAGGAGCTATAGACAGTCCTGAACTTAGAACCATTCATTTAGTGACCGTCCAAAGATACAACGGCGCTGAAAAAAGAGCGTTTTTCACATTAGTGATCATCGCAGTGTCCCCGCGGTCAAAACGCGATCTTCTTTTGCAACCATCCAACGAGGAATGTCAAGGATTCGCTTCATGACCGCGTGGCTCACTTCCCCGCTGCAGGGATTTGACGAACAATGGCGGCCAGAAAAGCCGTCATGATGGGGCCAAGTCTGACTTCACAAGAGTCTGGCTTAAGGACGGTCCTCGCGAGCTGTCGTTAAGTGGACGGCCTATAAGGAGGTGTCTCCTGCCAGGGGGTTGGACTAGAGGACCTCTAGAGTCCTTTCGAAGCGTACGTTCTGGCTTCTATGTACTTACAAATCTGAACTGAACCAAATTGACCGGTTGGGGATTCATTTAATGACCGGCGGGAGAAAGGTCGGAAAAGACAACCAAGGTCTCGCTTAGCGATGGACATTCGGGGCTAAACCGCAGTCGTAAGTCGAGGACTAGTTTTTTTCGAGCATTCAGGGAGCTGCAAGTCGAGATAGCTGGGATGCTAAGCCATTCCCCTCAACTGTTCGTGGGGTCCACCCCTGAGCCCCCCCCCACAAATCTGACCCGGGGCACTTGAGGGTCTCACCGAGCTTCCAGCCGAAGGGGGTGTGCACGTCGAAACGGACCTTTGCCTCGCCACCGGCCACCTTAGCGAGGATGGCGTTGACGTCGGTCTGGAGAGAAGTGGGGGTCCGGTCAACCCCCAAATCCTGGAGGGTCAGCTTATCTGGCGGTAGGAAGGGCCCGTCATAACCCGGAGACTCCAGTTGGGCCGTGGTGTTGATGTGCATAAGTTTGAGCCAGGAATTCTGACGGGCCGGAGTCCAATTCCCTGCAGCGATGTAAGAGAAGCGAGAAGAATCCAAGGGGTTGGAAGGGAGCACAGAGGTCATCTAGCCCGACACCAGCACCACCCCCGCTCGAGAGAAAAACATGTGGGTGAGAGTCTGGGGCAGGTGGGATATCCCGAATGCAGGCTTTCTTTCTCCCACCTTCCTTGTCTATTTCAATTTCTCTCTCATTTCCTTCTCTCCTCTCCCTCCTTTTCTATTTCTCTTTCATTTCCTTTTCTCTCCTTCCTTCCTTCTTCTATGTCCATTTCTCTATTCTTTCTTCCCTCTTTGTTTCCTCCCTTCCTTCCTTCCTCTCTCTCCTTCCATTTGTCTCCCATTTTCCTTCCTTTTCAATTTCAATTTCTCTCTCCTCTATTCTCTCTTCAGTTCCTTTTCTTTCTCCTTTCCATTCTCCCTCCTTTCCCTCCCTTCCTCCTTTCCTTCCTTCCTTCCCTTTCTCCCTCTCATTTTCTATTTCTATTCTCTCTTTCCCTCTTTCTTTCTTTCCTATCTCTCTATCTACCGTTTCCCCAAAAATACGACCTACCTCAAAAGCCCTAGCTTGATTTTTACATATCTATCTATCTATCTATCTATCTATCTATCTATCTATCTATCTATCTATCTATCTATCTATCTATCTATCATCCATACCTGTCTATCTATCTATCCATCCATCTCTATATCTATCTATCTATCTATCATCTATTTATCCATCTATATCTATCATCTATTTATCTATGTATCCATCTATCTCTATATCTATCCATCTATCTCTATCTCTATATCTATTTATCTATCTATCCATCTCTATATCTATCTCTATCATCTATCTATCTATCTATTCTATCTATCCATCTCTATATCTATCATCTATTTATCCATCCATCTCTATATCTATCTATCTATCATCTATTTATCTATCTATATCTATCTATCCATCCATCCATATCTATATCTATCATGTATTTATTTATCTATCATCTATTTATCTATCTATCTATCTATCTCTATCTCTATCTCTATCTATCATCTATTTATCTATCTATATCTATCTATATCTATCTATCCATCTATCTCTATCTCTATCATCTATTTATTTATCTATCATCTATTTATCTATTCATCTATCTCTATATCTATCTATCTATCTATCTATCATCTATTTATCTATCTATCTGGGAGAAGAGGAGGAGAAAGAACAGGATTATTGTTCTAAGATGAATAGGTCAATCTTGGCTTATTGGGTGTTGATTGTTGGGGAGGAGGTGTTGTCATCTATTTGTTCCTTTCTTAATTTTTTGATTGACTCTTTTCAATGGTGGGTAAACATTCATCGCTCCATGTCTGCTAATGGCCAATCCATCCGAGTTGAGCTACATGCCCATGTGCACACGCACCAACCTGCTATTCACGCAAGCTCAACCACCCACCACTTATCTACCAGTCCGATGTTTGTCCCAAGTAACCGTGGCCCAGTAGTGGGTCGTGGCCCAGGGGTTGGGGACCCCAGTTGTGGATGGTATCTGCTTTTTGAGTTGGGATGTTTTGGAGGGCATGAGTCGGTTTGCGTACTACACTGATGTCGCACTGGTTTAATCATCCGCTGATGGTTACTCAGACACCCTCCTACCCAGTCCCAAGACCCATCGTTGGACTTCTGTTCTACATACCAAAGAAACTGAAGAAAAACTTGGGCAGCAGAACGGTCTGGAAATGGATGGCTTCTGCTTGCTGTAAGACACACAACGACCAGACCAGGTCGACCAGCAGGGAAGGGTTTAGGCTGCCCAGTTGACCGTCCAGGATGTGGTGGCTCTGGAAGAGAAGATGGAGAAGGGCGGAAGGAGAAAATTAACTGAGCGAAGTTATACCTGTCGGGAGAATTTCTGCCCTGAGCAAGGGTTGGATTAGAAGACCTCTAAGGTTCCCTCCGGCTCTAGGATTCCTCAGACCTCCAAAGTCCCCTCCATTTTTAAAAAAAATTCTAAGCCGAAACAGTCACAAGAGAAATAGTCCTTGATCTAATGACCAACTGGGCCCAAGTTACAGTGATGTTGGAAAATAAAGACGACAGTGATGACGGATCCTCGCACTTACGACCATGCCAGCATACTGGCAATGACCTAATCACGATTCAGGTTGTTTCAGATGGACACTAAACGAATAGTTGTAAGCGGAGGATTACCGGTGATAATTTTGCACCCATTCGGACGTTAATTTAATTCTCATTTTTTTACTATGTGGTTTGTCCTTTCGTCTTCTGTATTGAGAATTATTTCTCTAAATTTATTGATTTATTGATTGATTAGGTTTTTATCTTGCCTTTATTATTTGATAAGTAACTCGAGGTGGGGAAAGATACTTAATACTCCTCCTTCCTCCTGTTTTCCCAAACACAACAATCCTGTGAGGTAGGTTGGACTGAGAGAGAGAGAGGGGCTGGGCCAAAGTCACCCAGCTGGCTTTCATGCCTAAGGTGGGACTAGAACTCCCCATCTCCTGGGTGATTGGCCCAAAGTCACCCAGCTGGCTTTCCTGCCTAAGGCGGGACTAGAACTCACTGTTCCCTGGTGATTGGCCCAAACTCAGCCAGTTAGTTTTCATGGCTAAGCCCGGACTAGAACTCACGGTCGCCTGGTTTCCATGCTAGCACCCTCACCACTAGACCAAATTGGCGCTCTCTCTTCTGTTGTGTTCTATTCAAGACAAGACTATACAATATAGGATTATACAATACAATTCAATACTATACAATACTGTGCAATACTATATTAGACAATACTATACTACACTATACTACGCTACAGTATACTATAAAATACTACACAATACAATACATGCTATACTATACTATACTGTACAATACTATACAATATAATATTGAACTATACAATACTACACTATACTACGATATAGTATACAATACTACACAATACTATACTACCCGTGTTTCCCTGAAAATAAGACCCTGTCTTATATTTTTTTGAACCCTGAAATAAGTGATGGGCCTTATTGCCATGCACTCAAAAGCCCGATGGGGCTTATTATCAGGGGATAATGTCTTATTTTGGGGGAAACAGGGTAGATGGATGGATGGATGGATGGATGGATGGATGGATGGATGGATAGATAGATAGATAGATAGATAGATAGATAGATAGATAGATAGATAACCATGTTTTCCCTGGAATAAAACCCTGTCTTATATTTTTCTGAACCCTGAAATAAGTGATGGGCCTTATTGCCATGCGCTCAAAAGCCCGATGGGGCTTATTATCAGGGGATAATGTCTTATTTTGGGGGAAACAGGGTAGATATTACTATACTGTACTATACAATACATACTACCGTGTTTCTCCAAAAAGACGACCCACCTTGAAAAGAAGCCCTATCACCTTTTTGAGCGCATGCGATCAAATTAAGCCCCACCCACAAAAAGCCCTAATTAAGACCCCGCCCACCCCGTGGTGCAGGGGGTGGAGCGAGGCACACAGGTAAAAAGTAACCTAGGGTGGGGATGGAGGGTGGAGCTGCCCTACTTACCAGGCCTCGCGCTCCCCGACACCTGCCTCGCCTTCTTCTGCGGCTGCTTGCCGCCACTCGCACGCATCGCCCTGGCCTCCATTTTGTCTTCAGATGCCTGCCGGAAGGCTCTGTTATCGGCTGCAGCTGTCTTCCGGCAGGCATCTGAAGGCGGAACGGAGGCCGGGGCGATGCGTGCGAGTGGCGGCAACAGCCGCAGAAGAAGTGGGCCAACGGTGGGCTCCTGGTGGGTGGGCTGTTGGTGCCACCGTCGCGAGGCAAGTCAATAATTAGAACCCTCCAAAAATAAGGCCGTATTTTCAGGGGTCAAAAGAAAATAAGACCTGGCCTTCTTTTTGGAGAAACACGGTATACAATACTGTACAATACTATAAAATACTATACTATATATATTACAGTATACTATGCTATGCTATACTACACAATACTACACAATAAAATAAAATACTATACTATACAATACTGTACAATATTATACTATACTATACCATACTACAGTATGCTATGCTATACAATATAATACTATACAATATAATACTATATAACACTACACTACTTTACACTACAGTATAATATAGAATACATACTATAGAATACTGTGCAATACTATACAATACTAGAATATACTATGCTATGCTATACTATACAATATAATACTATACAATATAATATTATACACTATACTACAACATACAATACTGTACTGTACTATATAGTACTATAGAATACAATACATATTATACAAAACAATACTATACCATACTATATACTATAATACCAAACAATACTATATACAGTATACTATACAATACTACGCAATACAATACTATATAATACTCTACTATACAGTACTATTGTATACTATATAATACTATACAGTACTGCACAATACTGCACTATATTATACTGTACTATATTGTACAATGCTATGCTGTGCTATGCTATAACTTTGTATTGGTTCTATACCGAGTAATTTTAATCAACAATTTTAAATAACTAGGTTTAATTCCAGCTTAATCCACAGGATGTGGAGCTGCCCCAGGACCCACGACTGCACAACAGAAAATAGCAAAGAATCACCTTGGTGTAAAAGTCCTCTTTGTTGCTGGGGTGGAAATTCAAGCGGGCGTAAGAAACGAGGAGATTAATCAGCTGGTTCAGAGTAAATTTCTTGCTATTTTGGATGAAGTACTATGGAGGAAAAAAGGAAGAGGAATTATGAATTTTTCAACCCAGAGCAAACGGCCAAAGCGAACACCAGGGCAGATGGTCCTCCACTTACGACGATTCGCTTCGTGACCATCCAAAATTACAACAGCCCTGAAAAAAAGTGGCTTAGCACCGGGTTTCACACTTATGACTGTTGAAGCATCTAGTGATCAAAGTCTGGACATTTGGCAACTGACTCATATTTATGACGGTCGCAGTGTCCCAGGGCCAGGTGATCCCCTTTTGCGACCTTGTTAATGGGGAAGCCAGATTCACTTAAGAAGCATCTGATTACTTTAACAAACGGAAGGACTTCGCTTAACAACGGTGGCAAGAAAGGCTGGGAACGGGGCGAAACCCTCACTTCAGGTTTCGCTTAGCAACGGAAATGTTGGCCTCAATTGTGGTCGTAAACTAGGGGATTCTGGGAGTTGAAGTCCACCCATCTTAAAGCATGAGGAATTCTGGGAGCTGAAGTCCACCTCCCTTAGTGCAGGCTGGCTGGCGGATTCTGGGAGTGGAAGTCCACCCCTCTTAAAGTATGCCAACACCGGTTTGGAAGTCTACCACGAGAACCAACACAAGCCAAAATTCCATTCCATCCGCCAAGAAGGTTCTGGAAGGATCATCTCAGGATCTCTTTCTGTTGACTTGCTTTCTTCCTTTAATCTCGGGGTACACAACAGGATTAAAAAAGAAGAGGAATCCTTGGGGATCGCGCTTCTAACCTGATCCAGAGATCCTTCCCTACCAACCACCCGTGTCTTCTCCTCCCTTCCCCGGAACTCACCTCGGCGGAGGCCTCGAAGACAGGCAGGTTCAACCATTTGAGGTAGGAGAAGGACTTCACGCAACGGACCACGTCGGTGGGAGGCAACTTGGAGACGTGGGGCAGGAGATCCGAGCAGATCTTCTGGAACATCTGAGTCTGGTGGAAATTCAGCTTCCCTTTCGCGGGAAGAGAGGGAGAGGCGGTTGGGATGTTGGAAGATGAAGAAGGTCAAAACCCATAATGGACGTGGAGAAAGACCCCAAAGCAGAAGGTCTTTTCAGTTGTCCAAGGTTGTCCCAACCCTGGTGAGGTTCAGACCCAACACCTCAAGGTAAGAGATCTGGAATTCTTTTCCCCTTAAATTTCGTAAAATACTAGGCAAACTGAGAGTGCTGGATGGACCAATAGGGGATGAGGAACCACAGAGGGTCAGATCTTCTGTCCTGGCACCAGGGATGATCAGGAAGCCCCCGAGATACACCAACTCAGGTGAGCCTTCTGACTCTACGTAGCTCTCTGATATCAGACAAGGATGCCTGGATCAGCATCCAGGTCTAAGTGACTATGACTCCACTGAGCATGGGCCCCAATCCTCTTGACGGGGAATGATGGGAGCTGGAGTCCAGCCCAGCTGAGAGGCACCGGGAAGAGGCAGACAGAGCTCGTATCTCACTTCCGCTAAGTCCTCCCATCTCTCGACGGCCAATGGAAGTCCAAACTCTGCGACCCATCGCTCTCTGTCTGCTTGCCAACCACTTCAGAAGAACAAGTAATGCCCCCAACCCCAGTACACACGGTCCTCGTTTAGTGACCGTTCATAGTTACAGCAGCACTGGAAAAAAGGGACTTCACAACTGTTTTTCACACTTAAGACCGTCCCATTATCAAAATTCAGATGCTTGGTCACCGACTCGTACTTACGATGGGTCGCAGAGTCCCGGGGAGGGGTGTGTGTGTCACGTGATCCCCTTTGGCGACCTTCCAAAGAGCAAAGTTGATAGGGGGGGGAGGGAAGCCCAATTCGCTTTATGACTGTGTTTGAGTCGAAACGATTCGCTTAATGAATTCGGCAAGGATGGTCGTACAACTGGGGTGAAACTCACCCCCAACGTTTCACTTAGCGACCAACGTTTTGGGCTCCATTGCAGTCATCAGCTGACGACAGTGGGGATTTCACTTAACAACAGCGGAAAGGAAAGGGGGTGCCATGGGGCGAAGCTCACTTAACAACGGTCTCACTTAACGACAGAAAGGTCGGCCTCGATTACGATTATCGTAAATGGAGAACTAGCTGTCTTGTCCAAATGCTTCCTGGGCATTTTTTTAAAAAGGTCCAGGAAGAGAAAAGAGTCCTCGACTTACAACGGTTCATTTAGCGACCGTCCAAAATCACAACGGGGCCAGGAAAAAAAAACACAGAATGGCTCAGCACTGTGATGAGGTGCTCAAAACCAGATCATCAAAGCCCGAATTTCCTCGCTCAGCCAGGGAAATTCGGATGATCCTATTTTGCGGCCTTAAGTCAAGGACGAAACCCCAGATTCGGCGAATTCTCCCAACAAGCCGAGTTTTCCCCGGAAAGGAGGGACGGATCGCTCACCAAAGGCAAAAGCCAAATCCAGGAGGATATCCGGCTGGACGGCGAAATGCTTCTGGACAAAATGGTAGGAGATGGCTCGGAGAAGCGGCAAGGAACGGAGGTTTTGTTGGGCAAGGACAACGGCGATCCTCCGGATGTCCTCGGCAGAGAAGTGGGCGGCCAGCTCCAGGCTCTGCGGAGGAAGATCCGTTTAGTGTCAGGAGCAAAGAGGACTGAGGGGAGGGGTAGGGGGGTAGAGGAAAGAGGCAGGGAGACGGGAGCAGGAGGGAGGGAGGAAGGAAAGTGGCAGAGGGAAAGCATAAGGTGCAAAGAGGGAAGAGGGAGGGATGTGGAAAGGAGGAGGAGGGGGTTCTCGGTGGTCTCTGAGCTGGGTGCATTTCTTGCAGACGTTTCATGACCCAGCAAGGGAACGTCATCGGTGCCAGAAGGGAGGGGGGATGTGGAGAGGAGGAGGAGGAGGAGGAGGAGGAGGAGGAGGAGGAAGGACTTTGGGCTCCTTGGTGCTCTCTTGAGCTGGCGGCTTTCTTACAGACATCTCGTGACCCAAATAGGGAATAGCATCAGTGCTAGAAGGAAGGGAGGGTTTAAAGGGAGGAGGAGAGGAGGAGGAAGGGCTGTGGGGTTTTCGGTGGTCTCTGAGCTTCATAGGTTTCCTTGCAGATGTCTCACGACCCAGCTAGGGAACCTCATCAGTGCTTGAAGTGAGAGGAGTCTGCAGAGAAAGGGAGCAGAGGGATGAGAAGGAGGAGGAGGAAAGGAGGGAGGGAGGGAGGGAGGGAGGGAGGGAGGGAGGGAAGGAAGGAAGGAAGGAAGGGAGGGAGGGAGGGAGGGAGGGAGGGAGGGACTGGTGCTCTGAGCTTGTCATGACCCAACTAGGGAACCTCATCAGTGCTAGAAGGGAGAGGGGTCTGAAGAGAGGAGGGGGAGGGGGAGGAAGAGGTTGGCTGTGAGGTTCTCGGTGGTCTCCAAGCTAGGTGGGCTTCTTGCAGATGTTTCACGATCCAGCTAGGGAACATTATCAGTGCTAGAAGGGAGAGGAGTTTTCAGGAAATTTCCCTTGATTCGAGTATTGTTTTCTGCTTGATGGTTTGTCTGCTGTTAATCCCTGCTTATCTGGGTTTCTCTTTCCATGGAGTTCTTGGTGCTCTCGGAATTTTGGGGCTTGTCTTGCAGATCTTTCAGAAGCTCAGAAAGCATCAAGGACCCCACTATTGTCGTCAATCCTTCTCCTCCGTGCCATAAATCCCACTTCCTTCTAGAACTGATGAGGTAGCCTAGTTGGGTCACAAAAAGTCTGCCAGAAAACCACCAAGCTCAGAGGACACCCAGGATCCCACACGCCTCCTCCTACTCCTTTTCAGAAACCCCACTTCCTTCTAGCACTGATGATGTTAGCTAGTTGGGTCCTGAAACGTCCATCAGAAAACCCCCAAGCTCCGAGAGCACCAAGGACCCCACGGTCCTCCTCCTCCCCGCTCTTCCTCCTCCTCTTCCTCCTCCTTTTCAGAATTCCCATATCTTGACAGCACTGATGGCACCGCCTAATTGGGTCCCGAAACGTCCGTCAGAAAACCCCCAAGCCGGGTTACCTTGTCCTCCAGCCGCTCCCGGAGCTGCAGCGAGAGGTATCCCTGTTTGGCCATGAGCATGGCGATGGTGCTGGCATCTGCTATCTCGGCCCAACGCATCTCCAGCTGGGCGAAAAGCTCAGTCAGCAGCTCGTGAGGCTTATCCTTGGGGATGTAGGCGGCCAGGTAAGTGGCCAAGGATGCCAGGCGCCGGTAAGAGAGTCCGCGCAGGCGCCAGCGCAGCTCCTGCTCAGCTGAACACAGCTCCTTCTGCTGGGGGTTGACCCCCAAAAAATAAAGACTCTTCAGGAGGTTAATCAACACCATTTGCTGGATCCTGGAGGCCTGTGGGCAGGAAAGGCGCAGAGCATAATTTATTATTTTTTAATTTACTGTTATCCAATTCCTTTTTTGCGGGTCGTCCTCAGCTGACAACCGCTCCTATAGTAACCTAAGTGGTGACAGGGTTGGAAAAAAAAGGACTGAGCTTACCTAAGGTAGCCCTAGAACCCCCCCCCCCCCCCCCCCCCCCCCCCCTCACCTGGTGATTGGCCCAAAGTTACCCTGCTGGCTTTCATGCCTAAGGCGGGACTAGAACTCAATATCGCCATGTGATTGGCCCAACGTCACCCAGCCAGGTTTCCTGCCTAAGGCAGGACTAGAACTCCCAGTCTCCTGGTTTCTAGGCCAGCGCCTTAACCACTACACTAAACTGGCTCTATACGCAAAGAGGGGGTGCATTTTGCCACTATGTTCAGATACACCCCGATAGGAAGCTAGTGAGCAGGCATGGATTGTACCTACAGCTCTTTCCCCTCCTAAGGAAAAAGGTAAGGTAAGTCCTCTCTTAGCAACTGCCACATTCAACCACTTTTCAATGTTACGATGGGGCTCAGAAAAAGAACGTGCATTTCAACCTTCTCCGTGTCCCTCAGGCGCGCGATCCCCGTTGTAGTCAAGAGTTTGGAGAGAAAGGGATTTGCAGAGTTTGGAGATTACAGGGACACAAATGGCGATACACATTGAAAAGAATGCCTGCATGCTAGCAAACAATTCGGTGTATCTCCTCTTGTGAGGCTGCTTACTCCACCTACCATGGATTTCAGCTCCCGAATTTTCTAGTCGCCAATTCTGGAAGCTGGAATCCACACATGCTGGCTGGGGAGTTCTGGACTTTGAAGTCCACGTATCTTAAAAGTTGCCACGTTGGAAAAACGTGTACTAAAGTCTAACTTCATCACAAAACTTTAAGATATCATTTCTTTAAGATATCTGATGGGGCACTATCGCACCCAAGACTTTAGAGATGGTCCCTGGTTGAGCAGAAAGCTGATGAGGAGCTGTATCCTAGTCCATGTAGGGTAACCAGCATCCTTGTGTTAAACTTTCTCTGTCAGGAGAGCTCCGTTCCCATCCAGGAAGTATCCTTCAGGACAAAAAAAGGCATTCGACAGGATTGAGACTCTCAATCCAAACTCTCCTAGGTACGTATCTAAACCTGCCTTTTTCTGGCCCAGAAAGACTTCCTACCAGGACACCCAGAGGTTTCTGAACACAAAGAGACCCACAACTACGTCCTTGTGTTAAAATTTCTCTGCCAACAAAGATTCGTTCTTGTCCAACAAGCACCTTTCAGGACAAAAAGGGCATCTGACAGGAGTCCCAGTTCAAACTCAGCCACATATCTAAATCTGGCCCGGAGAGATACAGCAGATTCTGCACATAGACCCACAACCCTACCTCCTTGTACGTCTGATGGAGCAGCTGTTGGAAACGTTTATCCTTCAAGATGTCCTCGTGGTCCAGCTTCAGCTGTGAGGCCAGATGGGACAAGCGTGTGATCATGAGGGCAGCCTGGTTCCCGCCAAGGTCCTGCAGATGTTCAAGAGAAAAGAGTTCCTCCACACTGGATGAAGCCATGATGAGATCTTCCCACCTGGTGGACTTCTCCAGGGGTTTGCTCTCCAGCTCCTTCACGGAGATGTCTGCCACTTGCGAGAGGTTGTAAGTGGTCATTGAGGCGAAGGGAGGTCTGCTTGACCGCATAGCCTTGGTCAACTGACCAGCTTGGAGGCCCAAGGGAGAGAAGGTTCGGCAGAGCATATACCAGCGGTGCATCAGCCTGGCCGCCATCTTGCTGGGGGTCTGCAGGGAAGGGGAGAGGGGAGGAGGGGAAAAGCACAGGATTGTTGTTGGTCCTTTGATTATCAACACTGCGACGGCAAGCCACTTGCATATAAACAGAGATCAAATCCCAATTCCTCTTAGAACTGAAGATGTTACTTAATTGGGTCATGAAACGTCTGCAAGGAAACCACCAAGCTCAGAGAGCACAAGGACCCCACAGTCCTCCTCTTCTTCCCCCCCCTCCAACCTCATTCCCTTCTAGCACTGAAGATGTTACTTAGTTGGGTCATGAAACGTCTGCAAGGAAAACCACCAAGCTCAGAGAGCACCAAGGACCCCACAGTCGTCCTCCTCCACTCCACAAACGCCCCCCCCTTCCTTCTGGCACTGATAATATTCCCTAGTTGACCAAACAACCAAGGTCTGCCCTCCCTCTCTCTTTTCTCTACTCCGGAAACACCGCTCTTTTTTTAGCACGGATGATGTTACCTAGTTGGGTCATGAAATGTCTGCAAGCAATCCACCGAGCTGAGAAAACCAGGGACATCCCCCACCCCCACCCCATCTTCCTCCTCCTCCTCCTCCTCCTCCTCTCCACACAACCCCCCTTCTTTTTAGCACCCAACAATGGCTTGAGGAAATCCAACCAAACGATCAGAAATATTCTCAATCAGAATAGAGCTGGGAGAGACCTTGGAGAACCCACTGCCTAAGCAGGAGATAATATGTCATTTCAGATAGGTGGCTGTTACCCAGTTAGGGTAATGAAAGAAAAAAACAAGCTAAGGACCCATCATTTCAACCCTGAGCTGCAAACATTCGCCTTTATAGATATGTGGATGTCCAGTCTTTTCTTAAAAGCCTCCAGTGATGGAGCACCCACGACTTCTGGTGGCAAGCTGTTCCACTGGTTAATTCTCCTCACTCTTGGGAAATTTCTCCTCAACTCCAGGTTGCTTCTCTCCTCCATTAGTTTCCATCTGTTGTTTCTTGCCTTCTGGTGCTTTGGAAAATAAGTGGACCCCTTTTTCTTTGGGCAGCCCCTCAAATATTAGAATCCTGCTATCATGTCCCCCCTACTCCTTCTTTTCTCTAGATTGGCCATACTCGATTCCTGCAACCGTTCTTCGTATGTTTTAGTCTCCGGGCCTTTAATCATCTTAGTTGCTCTTCTTTGCACTTTTTCCAAAGTCTCAACATCTTTTCTGTAATGTGGTGACCAAAACTGGAAGCAGTTATTCCAAGTGGGGCCTTACTAAGACTTTACAAAGCGGTACTAGTACTTCTCGTGATTTTGATTCTGTGCCTCTGTTTATGTAACCAAGGATTGTATTAGCGTTTTTGGCTGCTTCCTCACACTGCTGGCTCAGGTTTAAGCCATCGCCCACTAGGACTCCAAGGTCCCTCTCACAGGTAGCCAGGTTTCACCTAATCTAGCCAAGTGCATATAACCAACATATGGTAGAACAAACCTGATAACAGATTTTGGAAACGGAAGGAGGAGGAATTTCATTTCAGCCCCATTGGGTTGAGTAAGATCTTGTTGTGGTCCGTCAGCGGCCTGTGCGGATTGTAGCTGATTCCGACAGCGAGGAGGCTGGTGTGGTGCTGCACTCGAGTCGGACAGTGAGGAGGCTGGAGAAGGTGTGGTGCCAGAGGCGGGGATTCCGCCAGGGCCTTCAGAACCTCCAGAAGCTCCTTTAAGTGAAGAGGATGAAGAGGAGGAGCCTCTTCTCGATGCACGGGCGCGCAGAGTGGCCAAAAGGCAGGAGTGGCTCCTCAGGAGGAGGTCTCCTCGAGAGTAAGGCTTGGGGCTAATTGGCCACTCCCTTAGCCTATTTAAGGAGGAACGCCGACTGAAGCAAGTTGTAGGGAACAACTTTAGTTCATTCTCCTTCGCGTCTGGATTCTCTGCAAATTGCTTCTGGGCTTTCTGCCAACCTTAGTAGGATTGTCTTTGGTTTCTTGTAGGCTGTTAAGAAAGTTTATTAACAGTCTTTCTTTGGAACAGACTGAGTTATTTTAGTAAATTTAAGTTTTGTACAGGCTTTGTGTGTGCTGTGTTCTTTGGGGTTCGTAGCTGGGGTAGAACAGATCTCCTGCTCGAGCAGGGGGCTGGACTAGATGACCTCCAAGGTCCCTTCCAACTCTTGTCATTTTATGATTCTGTAAGGATCTCCTGCTTGAGCAGTGTGTTGGACTAGATGACCTCCAAGGTCCCTTCCAACTAAGGGCAGCCCCTCGAATACTGCAATACTATTATGTTCCCCCTAGTCCTGCAACCTTAAACACTCAAAGAGCCATTTGGACCCGTTTCCTACAGAAAAGAAATCACCGGGAGCCACAAAAGCTGGGTGGGTGTGGCCAACTCGACCGTCACTCACTCCCACCCAGTCACATGACACCACCCCCCTCCCACAGCCAAGCTTACCCAGCTTTTGTGGCTCCTGGTGTTTTCTGTGTGAAACTATTATCTCTCTCTCTCTCTCTCTCTCGTGTGTGTATGTGTGTGTGTGTGTGTTTGTATTCCTTCTTGAACCATTTCCGTAAACGGGCGAGGATTGGTGTTGTTGGTTTTTTTGGGGGGGGGCGATGTTGTTCTTTCTTTTTCTTTGGGTGCTTTTTACCATATTTAAATCAAGAGTCATTTCAGGTTCCCAGATAAATGAAGCTCTTTCCTCCCCCTGCAGGGGCTCCCTGTCCGCTGAACCCACCACTGGCTGGCCCTGCCCCTCGCCCTCCCTTCCCAGTCACTCCTCGCCTGACCTGAGAAGGGAAGGGCAACGGCGGACGATGAAGACTCGCTCCATATTTCAGAGTGGGAGTGACGCACCCCTGTACTTGCCATATCTCGCAGGCGCTTCTTCTGTCCCTTGTTGGTGCTGTGCATACCTTGGTCACTAAGGGAGACGCACGACTTGCTCTCCGCCCTGAGACAGTGGCTCGGCCTGGCTGTGGCCAATGCCACTTCTGTTGCCACCTCCATAGCCTGCCCGCTGCTCTCACAGCATCTTGCTCAAGCACAGTTAAATTTAGCACGCTTCACAATGGAGGAGACGGTGTTCCTTCCTCCTCTTGGAGCCCATTACGATGCAGAGCATCGGCCGCCACCGGACTGGGCCAGTGTTTCAGGGCAGAGAGCAATTCGCACCTTTCCCCGAGCAACTGAGGTGTGTGTAGCCCCAAGGGCCGGAAGAAGCGCCTGCGAGATATGGCAAGTACAGGGGTGCTTCACTCCCGCTCTGGAATATGGATTGAGTCTCCATCCCCCGCCGTCGCCCTTACCTTCTCAGGTCAGGTGAGGAGTGACTGGGAGGGGAGGGCAAGGGGCGGGGCCAGCCAATGGTGGCTTCAGCGGACAGGGAGCCACAGCTGGGGGAGGAAAGAGCCTCATGTGGCTCCGGAGCCACAGGTTGCTGACACCCGCCCTAGTCCTTCTTTACATTAAACCCAAATCCTGCATCCGTTCTTCCTATGTTTTAGTCTCCAGGCCTTTAATCATTTTAGTTGCTCTTCTCTGCACTTTTTCCAAAGTCTCAACGTCTTTTCTGTAATATGGTGACCAAAAGTGGACGTCGTATTCCAGGTGGGGCCTTACTACAGCTTTACAAAGCGGTAGTAATACTTCACACGATTTCGATTCCATGCCTCTGTTTATATAACCAAGGGTCGTGTTCACTTTTTAGGTAGTAAAATATAGGTAGAATCGTTTGTTCAGTGACCGTTGTTACAACAGCACGGGGGGGGGGGGGGAAAGACTGACGACCGATTATCACACTTATGACCGTTGCAGCATCCCTGAGGTCACGTGATCCAAGTTTGGAATGCTTGGCAACCGGTTCGTATTTACGACGGTCACAGTGTCCCCGTGTCGATCTGCTTTTGCGACCTTCTCCCCAGCAAAGTCAAAGGGGGGAAGCCCAATTCACTTAACACTGTGGTACTATTAACAACGGCGGCGATTCACAACAACCGTGGCAAGCAAGGTCGTAGAAGGGGGCAAAATTCACTTAATGACGATCTCTTCAGAACAGAAGTTTCGGGATTTGACTGCGGTCGTACGTCCAGGGCCATGATCCCCCCCACACCCCGTTGGACAGCTGCCTTGCTTAGCGATTGTTCATTACAGCTTGTCTTTGATTTACGACAGTTCGTTTAGTGACCATTCAAAGTTACGGCGCTAAAAAATCTTGGGTTCCATTGTGCCGTATGTCAAGGACCGCAATCCACCTTTGCTTATAATCCACACACACACACACACACACACTGATAACTTTGAACGGTCACTAAACGAACTGTCGTAAATCAAAGACGAGCTGTAATGAACAATTGCTAACCAAGGCGGCCGTCCAGCCAACTGCCCCGTTTTACGACCTGGCTTAATACAGTCGTTAAGCGAATCCGGGACGCCTGATCTGCGTGAGGCCTGGACTGGATGGCCTCGGGATGCCTCCACATTCCGGGATCGTCTTTCCCGCGGCCAGCATTGAAGCCCCGTGCCTCTGGGCGACAGTGATGGGATATGTAGTCCAAGGAAAAGGAGTCCAGCCCGCGGTTTTCGCACTGACAAGAGAGATGAGCGGGCGGCCTGCCCCATTCCGGCCTGTTTTCCACCGGCAGCCGAGGATGGAAGGCCTCGGTGCCCCGAGTACCGTGCCAGAGGCGCCTTACCTTCCCAGAGCCGCCGTCGCAGAGCGAGGACTGACCTCCAGCCGTCGCCCGCACGTCCGCTGCGGCTCGGAAAGAAGCGCCGCGTCGCCTCTCGATGACGTCACCGACCCTCTCCCACAAGTCGCGTGGCTTGCTCCGCCATAAATCTGAAGACTTCAAATCCCAGCATTCTTAGCCGTGACGACGGAGGGGGAGGGACTCTGGGAGTTGAAGGCACAGAGTCTATGAGAAGGAGCCATGTTGGGAAACGGTTCGCAAAGCGCATGCGCAGTTCAGGGGAGGAAAAAAAAAAAAGGCCTCAGTTACACAAACATCTGTAAAGATGTTTTCAACGCGCATCCGAATTTAGGGGAAGAAAAGGGCTCAGTTTAGAAATAACAGACCGCCGCGGACTTCCAATCCCAAAATTCTCAGCCGAGACGATGCACGGCGACGAACTGTGGGAATGGAAGTCCATGCCATTCATGAGGGCTCAAGGGGGGGGAGACTTTTTCAGCGCGCATGCGCGCTTCAGAAAAAATAAATGCCTCAGGAAAGAAAAAACGCCCCAGTTTAGGGAGTGCTCGTCTCCATCCCACCCCGGTAAACCCGAATTCATCCTTTTTCTTCTCCCTCCGCCGCAACTCCGATTAAAAAAAAAAGGGAGATACGCCTCAGGGAGGCCTGCGACTACGACTCCCGTCGTCCTTTTCGCGCGCCCCTCCCCCATCCGTCGGCCATCTTGTCCCCGCGAACCCGGGATTCGCCGCTTTCTCCAAAACCGGTCCGGAGAGTCCCGCCTCTTCCGGCCGAGCCACTTCCGGCGCTGCGGGAATGTAGCAGAAACGACGGCTGAGGAGAATCGCCGGAGCGGAGAAGAAGCTCGAAGCGGGCCGTTTAACGCGGCAAACCCCGTCAAGGTGAGGCCGAGGCCGAGGCCGAGGCTTCTCTCCCGGAGCCGACGTTATAGGCTTCGAAGGCCGTCGGGTCTCTCCTTGTTCCGGGGGGGGGGAGGGCAGGACTGCAAAGCCCATGGTCCCCCGCCGTCCCGTCTTGAAATGGGGGGGCGCTCATTTTTCCCGCCCTCCCCTCGTTACCTCACGATGCCCATCTTCCCCAGCCGGGCAGAACGAACAATTGGGGGTGGGTATAGTTGTGGTTGTGGGTCTGTTGCTTGAGAGGACTAGATGACCTCCGAGGTCCCTTCCAACCCTGTCACTCTATGATTCTGTAAAGGTCTCCTCCTGGTGGAGCAGTGGGGTTGGACTAGATGACCTCCGAGGTGTCTCCCAAGACTGTCATTCCGTAAAGGTGTCCTGCTTGAGTGGGGTTCGACTAGATGACCTTCAAGACCCCTTCCAACTCTTGATTCTTTAAAGGTGTCCTGCTTGATTGGGGTTGGACTAGATGACCTCCAAGCCTGTCATTCTATGATTCTATAAAGGTCTCCTGGTGAAGCAGTGGGTTGGACTAGATGACCTCCAAGGTCCCTGCCAGCTCCGTTATTCTATGATTCTGTAAAGGTCTCCTGGTGGAGCAGTGGGGTTGGACTAGATGATCTCCGAGGTGTCTCCCAAGACTGTCATTCCGTAAAGGTGTCCTCCTGGAGTGGGGTTCGACTAGATGACCTCTGACATCCCTTCCAACTCTGTCCTTCTGTAAGGGTCTCCTGTTTGAGCAGGGGGTTGTATTAGATGATAGATGATTAAAAGAGATAATAGTTGAAAAAGATAAGAGATTCAGATAGAAAGAAGACAGATTAGATAGGGGATGGATGGATGGATGGATAGAAGATAGATTAAATAATAGATGAGAGAAACATGATAGAAGGAAGATGGTTTAGATGTTTATGTGTGGTATAGTCACACCCACCTGCCACCCACCTGCCTCTCCAAAGCGCCTCTGGGCAGCTTATCTGGGTTTCTATCCACACCTCATAAACCAGGTTTCGGTCCCGAAAGTCACCCTGGGATTGATAGGAACCAGTCCTGCCACCTAAATCTTCTTTCCTCCCTCCTTGGGGTATAGTATAGCCTTCGTAGGTGGTGGGAACGCTGCTGAGGCTGGTACGTTGGGACCTCCGCCTTGGTGAGTAAAGCTTGCCCTGTTTTACAATGATTCTATGCTTAACACTGCTGTTGTGTAATGTCTGCAAGTGGCTTTGAGTTAGAGAAAGAGAAAAAAGTCCCTTTGTTTCAGGGCCTTTGTAACTGTGAGCCGTCGCTAAACAAATTATCATAAGTCAAGGCCTACCCGTACGCGCCTGTTGCCAAGCGTCTGAATTTCAATTACGTGACCATGGGGATGCTGCAACAGTCGTAAATGCGAACAATTGTCATACGACCTGTTTATCAGTGGCATCATAATTTGGAATGGTCACTAAACGAACAGTTGTAAATTGAGGTACCTAGCTTTTTCCTTGCTTGTTTCTCCACTGATCAATTTTTACTTTTTAGCTCAAATGTTTCAACCATTTCTGCTCAAGCCGCCTTTAAAATTTGTAAGTAAAGTGTTTTATCCTTTTTTGTCCCTTTTTTCGAAGTTGCATCACTGATGTGTGTTTTTTAGTTCTATTTCTGGCCTTTAATTGTTAGGTTGCCAAAATAGAAATAGCTATGAAGTCTTTTCCTCTAATTTTAATTATTTTTTGTGGGTTTTTATTTCTCTTTTCATCTACAGAGGCCGGCTCTGCCTTAAATCTCTTGATCATAATCTGATATATTTAGCTCCCTGATTGGAATTTAACTGGCTGCCACTTTCAGATGATATTTGCTTAGAGTTAATCTGTATATTTTATGCAGAAACCATAGCATTTTTTCTTCAGGGAGTTCTCGACTTCATGATGACTCATTTAACGACCACATGAAGTTCCAACGGCACTGAAAACCGTGACTTACCACCATTTTTCACACTTAACGACCATCGCAGCAATCCCCGGGTCCCCCGATCAAAATCCAGATGCTTGGCCACCAGCTCATATTTACAATGGTCTCAGTGTCTCCTGGGGGGGGGGGGGGGTCATGTGATCCCACCTTTTTTGTGAGCTTTGGATAACTCATTTTAACAACTTGCGGGGATTCCCTGAACAACAGTGGCCAGAAATGTCATAAAATGGGACAGAACTCCCTGAAGGAATGTTTCCCTTAGCAACAGAAATTTTGGGGTTACGTTGCAGTTGTAAGTCCAGGACAGCTTTTTGTAAAAACCGTGGTATTTTTAATGTCCAAATTTATAAGGAAACTTGAGTGGATATTCATGCAGGACAAGGCATTTTAATCTTCCTATATTTTTCTTCTCATCTTTATGTGGTCCTTAATGGGGCCCCAAATTTATGTTAAGTGAAACATTAGCTAACGGAGTTTTGCTCTCTTTGACGGTCTTTCTGGCCATGGTTGTTAAGTGAATCTCTGCGGTTCTTCAGTCCATCAGTGAAAAACAGTCCTAAGTCCCTTTTTTCCGTGCCGATGCAACTTTGACTTGTCACTAAATGAACGGCCATAAGTTGAGGATTGCTTGGGGCGAAACCACAGTGTTTTTTTCTAGTTTTAACATCCAAAATTGTAAGGAGCCAGGATCTGAACATTTTAATTTTCCTATGATTCTCTCCCCCCCCCCATCTTTACGTAACGCAGACAGTCTGGTACTTCAGAAAGATAATTGTGATCTCGGAACTCTGTTGCTAAGTGACATGGTCAGAAACTAAAGAACACCATCAGTGCTAGGAGGGAGGGGGTTTTGTAGAGAGGAGGAGGAAGGTTATGGGGTCCTTGGTGCCTCTCTGAGCTTGGTGATTTGCTTGCAGACGTTTCATGACCCAACTAGGGAACATGATCTGGTCTAGAAGGAAAGGGGGTGTTGCTCTCAATTTATATACCATCCCTTCCAGCACTGATGATGTTCCCTACTTGGATCATGAAACATCTGCAAGGAAACCATCAAGCTCAGCGAGCACCAAGGATCCCACAGTCGTCCTCCTCCTCCAGATAACAAAGTTGGAAGGGACCTTGGAGGTCTTCTAGTCCAACCCACTCCTAAAACGGGAAACCTGACACCATTTCAGGCAAATAGTATTTCAATCTCTTCTGAACCCACTCTTCTTAAAAAGTCAGAATTTGCTGTCTGGGACACTTTGCCTTCTACTGGAAAACAGGACGCACCTGTGCGCACGAAGGAAACAGCCACTTTTGGGGAGAGGCCTGGCACACCTTTCCACCTGGAGCAAAATGGGAAACGTGTTTAGTGCTGAGGTGGCCTAACGCCCCCGCCTGTCCATCCTTCCTTCCTTATCCTCACCCAGGGAAAAAGTTTCATCTCTCTCTTTTGCTTTCTTCAGATTTCTTTTTAAAATCACTTCAGATAGAAGAGATTGGGAAGCTTCTGGGTCTCTGAGCGTGGCGGTTTTCTTGCAGACGTCTCGTGACCCAACTAAGGAGCATTATCAGTACTAGAAGGAGATGGGTTTTGCAGACAGGAGAAGGAGGAGGAGGACTGTGAGGTCCTTGGTGCTCTCTGAGCTTGGTAGTTTTCTTGCAGATGTTTCCTTTTCCAACTAGGTAACATCATCAGTGCTAGAAGGAAGTGGGATTTGTAGAGAATAGGAGGGGGGGGGCAAGGGTCTCCTGCCTGAGCAGGGGCTTGGACTAGAGGACCTCCGAGGTCCCTTCCAGCTGGGTTATTCTGTGCAATTTCAACTTCCCCATTCATTAGCCGCTGTGTCCCCGTCCCCCAACTCTCAATCTGCAACTCATCCTTTCCAGGAAGAGACGTGGTGGGTTCTCTTCCTGGGGCAGAGAAAAACAAATTGCACAATGGGAGTGTCGATCCATCACAAAATGGCAAAAGCAACTCCTTTTTACAACCTCAGAACCTTCTCTGCATCACGTTTGCTGATGTCCTCCTCTCCCGAGCAAAAAGCCACAAAATAAGAGCAAATCCTGCAGTTAGTCCTCACCTTACGACCGCAATTGAGCCCAAAACTTATGTTGCTGAGATATGTTTGAAGTGTACTTCGCTTCTGTTTTACAACCGTTCTCACCACCGTTGTTAAATGAATCCCTGCAGTTGTTAAGCGAATCCGTCTCCACCACTCGTCAGAAGATCACAAAAGGGGATCACGGGATGCCGCCACCATCGTAAATACGAGTCGGTTGCCCAGCGTCCAAATTTTGATTGCGCAACCAGAGTTAGTTCTTCAGCCACTGACACGGTCGTTAAGCGAATCTGGCTTTCTGCTCCTCAGAAGGTCGCAAAAGGGGATCGCGGGACACCTCCGCCCCGGGCCACCGCGACCTTCGTAAATACGAGTCAGTTGCCGAGCATCTGAATTTTGATCCCGCGACAGTCGTTACCTGTGGGAAATGGTGCTATGTCCCTTTTTTCTGTGCCCTCTTAACTTGAAACGGTCACTAAGTGAACTATCATAAGTAGAGGACTGCCAGGATGGATGGATGGATGAATGGATAGATACAGGCAGGTGGATAGATAGATAAATAGAAACAAAGACATGAATTTTTTAGGGGGAGGAGGATGATGGGGTCTTTGGTCTCTTGGCTTAACTGTACAGGGAGTACTCAATTTACGACCGCGGTTGAGCCCAATATTTCTGTCTCTTAACAGACATTTGTGAAGGGAGCTTTGCCTCGTTTTACGACCTGTGTCGCCACCATTGTTAAGTGAATCCCTGCTGTTGTTAAATGAGTTATTCAGTGAATCTGACTTCCCCCTTGTCTCCTCGGAGCTTTGCTCTGTTTTATGACTGTTTGCGCTGCCGTTGTTAAGCAAATCCCTGCGGTCCTTAAGCAAAGTGAGATGGCCGTTAAGCCAATCTGACTTTCTGCTCCTCCGAAGAAGGTCGTGAAAAGAGGATCACATGACCCCCCCCGGGTAACTACGACTGTCATAAATATGGGTCGGTGGCCAAGCATCCGAATTTTGGTATATGTGAGCATGGGGAGGACGCCACGGTTGTTAAGTGTGAAAAACAGTCATATTGCCAGTTTATTTCGGTCCGTTGTAACTTCGAACGGTCACTAAGTGAACTGTTGTTAAGTTGAGGACTAGCTGTGCTGTGAATAACTAACAGCAGAGATTGTATATTTTGTTTCTTCATGAAATACAGAAAGCTCTTGACTTGCAACGGTTCATTTAGTTATAATGTTCCAAATTACAGTGGCGCTAAAAAAAAAAAAGCGATGTGACTGGTTTTCACACTTACGACCGTTGCAGCATCCGTGGGGTCACGTGAACAAAACTCAGACGCTTGGGCACTGACTCGTATTTATGACGGTCACAGCATCCCAGTGTCATGTGAACCTCCTTTTGTGACCTGATGAGCAAAGTCCATGGGGAAGCTCGATTCACTTAACAACCATGTTCCCAACTTAACAACTGCATTGATTCACTTAACGGCGACAAGAAAGGTAGTAAAATGGAGCAAAGCTCACTTAGTAATTGCCCAGATTAACAGCCGAAATGTTGTCAATACACACCAAACTTTGATCCCACAAAAGGGATGTTGTGACAGTCGTAGGTGCGAGGGCCGGTAGCCGGTTGCTAAACGATCTAAAGGACTACCGAGAGAGTGAATTATAATTTTGCAACTCAGCTGTGTTGTTGTGTATTGCGGGTTTCCCTTTTGGACGCCTCCCTGATAGTGCATCCTCTTGTGAAATGAGGTTGCCAGGACAGGAATGGTGTCACATGGGTTGTGTAACACAAAGAAAACCCACAGCACAACACAATTTGGACTTTAAGGGCGGTGGGCCAGAGGGGGGATTATAGTCCATTATAATCTATTTGGGGAAATCTCGACCTGTTACAGTGCGTTTTTAGATCAATACTGCTTTTTTTAAAATCGTTTTTGAAGGAAAAAATGGAGAATGCAGAATTTAAAACTGATTTTTTTTTCCTAAAATAGGCTAATAACACAAAGATGCATAAAATATATTTATATATACATGTCTGTAGGTGTGTGTGTGTGTGTGTGTGTGTGTATTCTTAATTTTTTCTTCCTTTTCGTAGGTTTTATGTGTGTTTCTTTTAGCCAGGTTTCTCCTACGTAACCAAGATTTTTCTTTCTACAGCCCTAGCTCAGTGAGTCACATCCACTCGATTCTGGGCTTTTTTTTTCTTCTGGCAGCCAGCAGGCCCTATGCTGCCCTATGCATAGGGCCTGCTGGCTGCCAGAAGAAAAAAAAAGCCCAGAATCGAGTGGATGTGACCCTACTGAGCTAGGGCTGTAGAAAGAAAAATCTTGGTTACGTAGGAGAAACCTGGCTAAAAGAAACACACACACATATATATATATGTGTGTGTATATATATATCTTTATTGAATTTCTATACCGCCCTTCTCCCGAAGGACTCAGGGCGGTGAACAGAATAAGATTTCATATACATATAATAATTTATTTATTTTTTTAAACAGTAAATAATAAATTGAGTCAACTTGGTGTACCTGCTAAGACCTTGGCATAGAATTTAGATGTTTATGCTAGCCCTGCTTGTTGAAACAGAAAGGTCTTCAGGGCACGTCGGAAAGTACAAAGATCTGGGATTATTTGTATTCCAGGGGGTATTTTGTTCCGAAGAGTAGGTGCCCCCACAGAGAAGGCTCTCTCCCTTGGAACTACTAGATGACATTGTTTTAATGATGGCACTATGAGTAGGCCTACTCTGTGAGAGCGTATTGGTTGGTGGGAGGTTATCGGTTGCAGCAGGTGGTCTCGTAAGTACTCAGGTCCTAAGCCATGGAGCACTTTAAAGGTAAGAACCAACACCTTGAAGCGCACTCGGAAGGCCACCGGAAGCCAGTGCAGCTCGCGTAGAAGAGGTGTTACATGTGAGCGCCATGTTGCTCCCATAATTACTCGCGCGGCTGCATTCTGGACCAGTTGGAGCTTCTGGGTGCACTTCAAGGGGAGCCCCATGTAGAGAGCATTGCAGTAGTCAAGTCGGGAAATGATGAGGGCTTGAGTGACTGATATATATATGATATTAAGACAGAAAATATATAAATATAAAAATACAAAATATAATATATATATAATATATATTTTGTGTGTGTATAGTAGGATAATGTAAAAAGTTATAAAATACAGGTGAAACTCAAAAAATTAGAATATTGTGCAAAAGTTCATTTATTTCAGTAATGCAACTTAAAAAGTGAAACTAATATATGAAATAGGCTCATTACATGCAAAGCGAGATAGTTCAAGCCTTGATTTGTCATACTTTTGATGATTATGGTTTCCAGCTCATGAAAATCCCAAATTCACAATCTCAAAAAATTAGAATATTGTGAAAAGGTTCAATATTCTAGGCTCAAAGTGTCCCACTCTAATCAGCTAATTAAGCCATAACACCTGTAAAGGGTTCCTGAGCCTTTAAATGGTCTCTCAGTCTGGTTCAGTAGGAATCACAATCATGGGAAAGACTGCTGACCTAACAATTGTGCAGAAAACCATCATTGACACCCTCCATAAGGAGGGAAAGCCTCAAAAGGTAATTGCAAAAGAAGTTGGATGTTCCCAAAGTGCTGTATCAAAGCACATTAATAGAAAGTTATGTGGAAGGGTAAAGTGTGGAAGAAAAAGGTGCACAAGCAGCAGGGATGACTGCAGCCTGGAGAGGATTGTCAGGAAAAGGCCATTCAAAAGTGTTGGGGTGTCACAAGGAGTGGACTGAGGCTGGAGTCAGTGCATCAAGAGCCACCACACACAGACGGATCCTGGAGATGGGCTTCAAATGTCGTATTCCTCTTGTCAAACCGCTCCTGAACAACAAACAACGTCAGAAGCGTCTTACCTGGGCTAAAGACAAAAAGAACTGGTTTGTTGCTCAGTGGTCCAAAGTCCTCTTTTCTGATGAGAGCAACTTTTGCATCTCATTTGGAAACCAAGGACCCAGAGTCTGGAGGAAGAATGGAGAGGCACACACTGCAAGATGCTTGAAGTCCAGTGTGGAGTTTCCACAGTCTGTGTTGATTTGGGGAGCCATGTCATCTGCTGGTGTTGGTCCACTGTGCTTCATTAAGTCCAGGGTCAATGCAGCCGTCTACCAGGAGATTTTGGAGCACTTCATGCTTCCTTCCGCAGACGAGCTTTATGGGGATGCTGACTTCATTTTCCAGCAGGACTTGACACCTGCCCATACTGCCAAAAGTACCAAAACCTGGTTCAATGACCATGGGATTACTGTGCTTGATTGGCCAGCAAACTCGCCTGACCTGAACTCCATAGAGAATCTAGGGGGCATTGTCAAGAGAAAGATGAGAGACATGAGACCGAACAATGCAGAAGAGCTGAAGGCTGCTATTGAAGCATCCTGGTCTTCCATAACACCTCAGCAGTGCCACAGGCTGATAGCATCCATGCCACGCCGCATTGAGGCAGTAATTGATGCAAAAGGGGCCCAAACCAAGTACTGAGTACATATGCATGCTTTTCAGAGGTCCAATATTGTTCTATGTACAATCCTTGTTTTATTGATTTCATGTAATATTCTAATTTTCTGAGATTGTGAATTTGGGGTTTTCATGAGCTGTAAGCCATAATCATCAAAATTATGACAAATCAAGGCTTGAACTATCTCGCTTTGCATGTAATGAGTCTATCTCATATATTAGTTTCACCTTTTAAGTTGCATTACCGAAATAAATGACCTTTTGTACGATATTCTAATTTTTCGAGTTTCACCTGTATACCAAATATATATTTTGTATACATATGTATGTGTGTGTGCATACATACATACATACATACATACATACATACATACATACATAGATAATAGGCATGCTTTAAGAGGTGAGAACTTTGACTCCCAGAACCCTTTTTACCATTATCCTCAATCAGGGTGGTTTTGATTTAAATAAAATCAACTTAAATCACTAAGGCTTCATTTAAATCAGCTTGATTGAAACCATAATTTTTAAAGAGCAACTGTCATCTCTGTCCCATAGCAGCTCCTCCTTGTGAGATTTTAAAACATCCAGAGTTTGTACTCACTGATTCGACAGACAACTCTGATGTACAAAGAAAGAAGGTTTATTGAATTGGGTTTGCAAAGGCAGGCCTCCACGTCCCTCCCCAATGTGGATTGGGATCGTGAAGCGCAGTTTTCAAGTTTCACACCATGCGTTTATACATTTCCACACAACATACTAAGATCCCTTACAAATTCTGTGTTTGTGACAAAGGTGATTACCCCTGCCTTGTTACTACAGGGTCTCTCTTATCTTGTCTTTTGCCATTTGTCCAGAACATTCAGATCAGGCTGACCCACAGTGATGATCTCTGTATCATTTGTGATTTTTATTTGGCCTTGCTACTGAGGCTTGCAGTAAGAGTTAGTGACTTAAAGTATTTTTGTCATTTTTCTGGTACATTTTATAAAAGGGTAACTTTCCCTCCATTCTCAGATCTTCTGACCCGCTGTTGACTCAATGACAGTTCCATTCCCTTTAATGGGACGGCTGGCGATGTGGCAGGGACACAACAAGGGGGGGACGTAGCAGGCAGCAGATGAGTGGATGCCCACTAACAGGCGCTGCCATGATGGATCTGAAATGACAGGTTCTCATAATATATAAACAGCTAGTCCTCGACTTAGGACCACAGTCAACCCCAAAATTTCCATTGCTAAGCTGGACTGTTGCAAAGCTTTGGCTCCTTTTTATGACCTTCCTTACCGCAGTTGCTCCGTGAATCCCTGCCGTTAGTGACACAGTCGTTAAGTGAATCAGTCTTCCTGCTGGTCAGGAGGTTGCAAAAGGGGATCGCCTGACCCCGGGGACCCCTGCGGCCGTCATAAATACGAGCCAGAACTCTTATCATGTGACCATGGGGAAGTCACAACGGCCTTTTAGGTGTGAAAAATTGCTCTTTTTTGTTTGTTTCTATCTTCAAATAGTCGCTAAACGAATCATCATAAGTCGAGGACTAGCTGTCTTTCCAGAAAATAGCCAAACTGTTTCTGCGGCGGAGTGAGACTGATCTTGAAAATAATTTGCTTTTTTTTATTTTTATTTTTTATAGGGAGAAATGGGGTGCTTGGAGAGCCCCCTCCCCCTCAAGCTTCTTAGCTTTTGCACCCGCGCCGGCCTGGTGCCTGCATGGTGACTCGATGGCATCTCGCAAAGGATCGGCCACCAGTCCGGAAATGCACCCGTTGCCAATGACCGAGACCGGGAAGACGTGGAGCTGGCCGAGCTCGGACCCCTTTTAGAGGAGAAAACCAATCCAGGAACATCCCATTCAGCCAATGTAAGTATGGATTTCCACACCATGGAGGTGGGAAAATCAAGCCATTAAAGTATGAATTGATTGAAGCTCCTTTGCAGCCAGCCCAATGGAAGAGACTGAAGGAGGGAAGGAGGCCCACTGCGTTTGGGGTGAAAGGCTGCCTTGGGATTTGTCATCGGGGGGGGGGAGGGGGATAATCACCAGTTCAGCCTAAAGAATGTTGAGTGATGACATTTATTGGGGTATTGGTTTAAAATTTAGATTTATAAATTTAGAGGAAAGAAAAAAGAGAAGGAAAAAGAAAATACGGAAAGGAATAAAAAAGAAGGGAAGGGAAGAGGAAAGGAAACATGAATAAGGGAAGGAAGGATAGAGAGGGAAGAAGAGGGAAGGAAAAAAATAGGAACGAAAAAGAAGGTAGGAAGAGAGCAAGGAAAAAGAAGAGAGGGAGAAGGAGACAAAGCAGGAAGGGAAGGAAGGAAGGAAGGAACAAGAAAGAGAAAGAAAGAAAGAAAAAAAGAAGAAATTTCCCCTCCTTCGGCCCTGGAACTAAAGATATACAGAACAAAAGTGTTTAAAAAGAACCCCCTGAAAATTAAAAAAAGTTAAAAATTAAAATTAAACCTTGGCGTTCTAGCTTGAAACAACTGATTTGGCAAAGTCTCCTGCTGACAACTGGAGCCCGCAAACATCCTAAGAAATTCACAAAGGAGCATTTGCAGATAGATAGAAGAGAGGGAGGGAGGGAGAGAGATAGAGATATGTGTGCCTCTATGTGTGTGTGAGAGAGAGAAAGAGAGAGATGATAATAAATAGATGAGAAATAGATGAGAAATAGAAGATACAGATGATGAGAGAGATGAGATGAGATGAGATGAGAGATGATAGATAGGCAGGCAGAGAGAAAGACGGGGAGTGAGAGAAAGATAATAGAGATAGATAGATAGATAGATAGATAGATAGATAGATAGACAGACAGACAGACAGACAGACAGACAGACAGACAGACAGACAGACAGACAGACAGACAGACAACCATGTTTCCCCTGAAATAAGATCCTGTCTTACATTTTTTTGAACCCTGAAATAAGTTATGGGCCTTATTACCATGTGCTCAAAAGCCTGATTGGTCTTATTATCAGGGGATGTCTTATTTTGGGGGGGAAACAGGATAGAAAGATAGATAGATATAATAGATGAGAGATGAGATGACAGAGAGACAGAGAAAAAGAGAGGTGATAGAGATGATGCGGAGAGATGAAATGATAGATTATAGATAGGTAGATGGAGGGAGAGAGAGATGATACAGATAAGAAATAAGAGAGAGATGAGATAATAGACAAAGACAGAGAGAGAGAGAAAGACAGGGAAGAGATGGATATAGGATAGAGGGATGGAGGGGAGAGAGACAGAAAGAGAGAAGGGTGGGTGGGTGAATATAGATTAGAGCAGCGGTTCTCAACTTGGGGGTCGCGATCCCTTTGGGGGTCGAACGGCCATTTCACAGGGGTTGCCAAAGCCCTCTCTTGCCCCCCCTCACGCCTTCACTCACCCTCACCCTCTGCCTCTGTTGGATCGCCGGTCACCGGTCGCTTACCCCGCCCACTCCCAATCTATTGCTGCCTCCTGAGTCCCAGCTGATGGCTAGAGGGAAACAAACTGTTTAAATTCTTGCTGCTGGGCTTCAAAGGGCTGTCCTACAGCTGATCAGTGTTAAAAGAAAACAAATGGTGCCTGCAAAAATAGAAAAAAACAGCCCCTTTCAGCTTCAGCATAGGTTAATTACCATAAATTGATTTGATCAGCCTCCGGACTCTCAGCTCCGTTGCTAGCTGCAAAGAGAGGAGCAGATTTTTTTTCCTCCCTAGCTATGCTGAAAAATGAAACTGAAAGTAAAACAGGCTGTAAGGTGACAAAATGAGGCAGAGAGAGATTTCTTTTTCTTTTTCCTCACCAAAAAAGGTAGGTGCAAAACTCAAACAATGGGAAATTTAGGGCAAAAGAGGAGGTTCAAGATTTTAAAACACAAAAGAAAAAAAGCTCTATTTAACTAGGGAATTGTAATCATTGAGATACTATTAATTGTATATTGTGTTGAAAGCAGAAATGGTTAAGTTGTGGTTTGGAAGAATATATGGGGGAAATTATTTGGTTTATTATTATTGGTAAATATAATTAATTGATTTGTAAGAAATTGGATTGCATGGAAATAATTGGAATATTCATGTTCATATTGATTGATATACAAAAAAGAGTTATATAACTAATTGATTTATATTAAAATGTTGAATTTGTATTAAACAACTGTATTACATAATTACATAATTAACCAATGTGAGGATGAATATAAAAAGAGATGACAATGGGAAGGGGGATAATATAGAATAGAAGGGAAAAACTGAATTTGATTAAGATTAGAGATGAGGATGAAGGGTAATATTGGTTTTTTACAAAAATAGATGAGGAATAAATATGGCAAAAAGGAAATATAGAAATTGTAAATTTAATTGAAATGACTAAACGCTGTTTAAATTCGTGAACCGGCCAAATACTCTGTTCAAAGAAAATACATTGTATGTTTGCATGTGTGTTTCTAATTATTGCTATTTATTCATATTTGTTCCCTTTTATTCTTTAAAGTTTAACAATTCATTCTTTATCTTAATATCTTTATATTTGTTTGGGGTTGGCTTTCTTCCCTTTCATCTTTTTTATTGTACAGCAATCTTTCTCCTCAAACCTACCACCTCTCTCTTTTCTTTCCTTCTTACTTTCTCTTCCTCCCCCTCTTCTTCTCCCTACTTCCTCTTCCTTTCTCCTTCTCCTCCTCTCTTCCTCCCTCTCTTACCCTCACTCCTACTCTAATTTCCCTTCCCTTCCTTCATCCCTCTCTATTGCTGTATCCTTTTATGCATATGGACTTCTCAGAGGGCTGAAAAAGTTATTTTTGACTGGTCCTCGCACTTTTGACCAGTCCTTGAACTTACGACTGTCCTCACATTTTACATTTTTGACCTATCTTGTCACCATGGTGAAGAGAAGCAGTTGTGAAATGAGTGACACGGTTGTTAAGAATGCTGCACGGGCATAAATGTTAGGATGGTCATAAGTGTGAGGACCAGTCAAAAGTCCGAGGACCTGTCAGAAATGACTTTTTTCAGCCCTCTGAGTAGTCCCTATACACATAACCCAGTCACATGACCAGCTAGCCACGCCCACCCAGTCACATGACCTCCAAGCCACACCCACATAATAAGCCACGCCCACAGAACCAATAGTAAAAAAAATTTAGAACCCACCCCTGGTTGGGGGTCACCACATGAGGAACTATATTAAAGGGTCGCGGCATTAGGAAGGTTGAGAACCACTGGATTAGAGGGAGGGATAGATAGATAGATTAGCGATAGAGAAATAGAGAGGAGAGAGATGATACGGAGAGTTGAGAGCTAGATGATAGAGATTATAATGGATGATAGATGATAGAGAAAGATGAGATGATAGAGGGAGATGATAGATATTATAGGGAGGGAGGGAGAGAGAGAGAAAAAGAGAGAGAGGTTTTTTGGTGTATGCAGAATCTTGCTCTGTTAATCACTTGGAGAGCTGGCCATCCATATTTAACTGAGGTTTAAAAGCAGTGAATTCTCTTAGCTGGCCTTGTGTGACATTTGGGTGTTTATCTGCTTTTTGCACTTCGGACCGTGTTAAACATCTTTTTCTGAATTTCTCAGCAAGTACAAATCTCGCAAACCCCAGTTGCGGAACCCCAAAAACACGAATTAAATTAAATTGTCTTCCAATGCAAATCCAGGGATTTTGGCCTCCATTCCTGGCTTGCTTTACAAGTTGCTCTGCTTGCATTTTAAACTTCTTTTCCTGCCCTAAAAAAAATCCAGTTTTGCCAGGAATGAGGGGGGGAAAAAAACCTAAAAAGGAAAAAAAAATGTTCTTTGACATTTTGACTCACTGCCACAGTTTGCCAGTGTGAGTTGTTCCCTCTTTGCTGAAGGAAGAAAGCGCCTGGGCTGTAGATCCGGTCCTCGATTTAGGACCTCCATTGGAACCATACATTCTGTCGTTAAAAAAGATGGTTATTCATTGGGTGGCGCCTCGTTCTACTACCTTGCCTTGTTTGAATCGCTGCAGTTGTTGAGGGAACAAGGCAGTCGTTAAACAAAGCAACAGCAGTGAAAAAAAAGTGATTTATGACTTATGACCACAGCATTTTCTAGGGTCAGGTGATCAAGATTTCGGTGCTTGGCCACCCTCACATTTTTACGTGGCTTATACCATCCCAGGGTCACGTGATTGCCATTTGCAACCTTCTCACTCAGCAAAGTTAAGAGGAGAAGCTGGATTCATTTAATGGCCACACGATTCACTTAACAGCTTCAGTCATTTGTTGAACCATCATGCAATCAAGGGAAGGGGAGGGAAGGGAGAGAAGGGATTGGAATAGGAAGGAAGATTGGAATTGGACAAAAGGAAAGGGAAAGGAAGGAAAGGAAAGAAGAAAAGGGAAGGAAAGGTGGAAAGGAAAAGAGAGGGAGATGAAGAGAAGGAAAGAGGGAAGAAAGGGTAGAGACGAGAGAAAGAGAAGGAAGGAGAAAGGGAGTGAGGGAAGGATAGATGGAAGGAAGAAAGAAGAGAAGGAAGGAGAGTGACGGAAGGAAGGATAGAGGGAAGGAAGGGTGGAGAGGAAAGGAAGGAAGAAGAAAGGGATGGATGGATGAAAGGAAGAAAAAAAAGGAACAGTACAAGGGAGAGGAAATGGAGGGAGAGAAAGAAAAAGAGAAAGAAAGAAAGAAAGAAAGAAAGAGAAAGATAAATATTTCTGAGTAAGCACAAACTTCGCAGAGCCCAGCTGCCACACACCCAAAAACCAGAATTAAAGTCACAACTGGATTCATGCATCTAGTCCTTGGCTTAAGGACCACAACTGAGCCCCAAATTTTTGTGGCTAAGCAAAACATTTGTTAAACAAACTTTGTCCCATTTTACGATCTTTCTTGCCCTAGTGTTAATTGAATCAGCTCATAAATTAATCATGTGGTTGTTAAGTGAATCTGGCTTCCTCATGGACTTCGCTGGTCAGAAGGTCGTAAAAGGGGATCGCCTGATCCCGGGAAACTATGACCGTCATAATTATGACTCAGTTGCCAAACCTCACAATTTTGACCCTGGGGACGCTGCAAAAGTCGTTAAGTGCGAAAAATGGTCATAAGTCGCTTTTATCAATCCAATGATAACTTTGAACAGTCACTAAGCAAGTCGATGACTGCCTGCACAGCATTTTGTCAACCAATCATCCCAGAGGGGCCGCTGAGTTTGCATAGCTCCGGTTTCAAGAGATCGTCCCGAGACCCCTTTCGTCAGACATTCACACCTTCGCGGTCTCTTTTTTCTCTCTCCGTAGAGCCCGTGTCAGCCATGCCCGGCTACTCAGGAGGAAGAGGAGGAGGAAGTAAGGGTCTTAACCCTCCCCTTGCAAGCCCACCATGCAATGGAGAAGATGGAAGAATTCGTCTACAAGGTAATTCGTCGGTTGTCTGAGACGGAGCCCGGTTCCTCTTTCGGGGGAAGGAGAGGGTCATGTTCTCGCGAGGAAAAAATGGAGCACAGAGCGGCATCAAAGGGGCCACGATGAGGATTTCCACAGACCAAGGGTGTGAAACTCAATTTCATTGAGGGCCGGATCAGCATTGTGGTTGTCCGCCAGAGGGAGGGGCGTGGCCAGGGTACTCACGGCCAACTGGGCGTGGCCAGCTTGACGACTCACACACACACACGTGTGAAAGGCCAGAGATGCTGATCTGAAACCTTGCGGCATCCATGCCGGGATGGGGTGGGCCCAGCTGAGGCGACGCTGGTCCAATGCCTCCTGTATGTGCTCCAGGATGGGGGGGTTGGGCCTGTGAGCGCCTGTGCACGCCACCTATACACACACATGTGCACACCGGGATGGCGTGGGCCAGGCCGAACCAACGCAGTCCGGTCCCTTACAGTTTCCAGGACAGCGGCACAGGCCGGATCTGACCACATCGGATTGACACCGATGGCACTTGGTTTTCTAACTTAAGCTCGACTCACTTAACAACCATGTGACTAATTTAACACCTTCACTTAAGAAATGTGGCAAGAATGTCATACAACTCACACATTTCTGGCTTAGCAATGTAAATCCTGGGCTCCATTTTGGTCATAAACTGAGGACTCCATAATCTTTTTGTTGCGTCCTCTTGAACGATTGTCTCACTTTGGGGCAAATTTGGTAGAAGTTTTTTCAGGGGGGGTTTGGGGGAGGAATCTGACTCAGGGCCAGTGGTGGGTTCCTCCCGGTTCGGCCGAGCCGGTAGCGGTGACAATATGACATCACCAAACCCCAATATGACTGCCCCACCCCCCCCACATTATTCTTCCCTTTTATTTGGTCCCACCCCCAATCTATTGCTGCCTCCTGAGTCCCAGCTGATGACTAGAGGGAAAAAAACTGTTTAAACTCTTGCCATGGGGCTTCAAAGGGCCGCCCTACAGCTGATCGGTGTTAAAAGCAAACAAAGGAGTCAGGTCGTAAGTGCGAAGACTGGTCATAAGTGCGAGGACCTTCCAGAAATGACTGACCAGCTAGCCATGCCCACCTAGTCACATGACCTCCAAGCCACACCCACAAAAAAAGCCACGCCCACAGAACCGGTAGTAAAAAAATTTAGAACCCACCCCTGCTCAGGGCCCATTGTTTAGCCTTTCCTAGGGAGCTGGACCAACGCCACCCCTATGAGGAAGGCCGAGCCAAATGTGCTCGGTGAAAATAACCAGATTTTTATCGGTCGCAGGTCTGGGAAGGCCGGTGGCGAGTCATCCCCTATGATGTGCTGCCCGATTGGCTGAAGGACAACGATTACCTGCTTCACGGACACCGCCCGCCTATGCCATCGTTCCGCGCCTGTTTCAGAAGCATCTTTCGCATCCATACCGAGACCGGAAACATCTGGACCCACCTGGTCGGTGAGACTGGCCATCGTTTCCGCAAAGCACACCCTTCCCACCCAAAATTAAATTCCATTCCTCCCTGTGGTTTTCCTTTGCTTCGCCCATCCGAAATCAAGGAATTTAATCCGGCCGGGACCCGAGTTCAAATCTTGCCCTGGCTAAAGCATTTTAATCCAGCCCGAAAAACAAATGAGAAAGAGAACCTTCCTGATCTAGATGGAGTTGCATCCCAATTATGGAGATTTTTTTTTTATTTTCCCACCGTAGTTAAGCAAACCGTGGTCGCTAAGTGAATCTTGCTCATCCCATTGACTTTGCTTGTTGGGAGGTTGCAGACAGCGATCACGTAACAGTGGGAGGCCGCAACCGTGGCAAATAGACCCTGAATTTTGACCATGTGACCATGGGGAAGTTGCAACGGTCGTAAGTACAAGGAGGAGGACTGGTCATCAGTCATGTTTTGCCCTGCCGTTGTAACTCCAAACGGTCGTTAAATGAACACGGGTCGTCCTTGAGTTACAAGAATTCGTTTACGACCATCCGAAGTTACGAGGGCACTGAAAATAGCAATTTACGACCGTTTTTCACACTTACGACTATCACAGCTTCTCCATGGTCATGTGGTCAACATTCAGATGCTTGGCAACCAATTCATAATTATGACGGTAGCTCAGGGTTACGTGATCCCCTTTTGCGACGTTCTTATGAGCAGCGTCAACTGGGCAACCCAGGTTCACTTATCAACCATGTTACTAACTTAACAACGATGGCTAGAAAGGTGGTAAAACTCAATAACTGTCTCACTTAGTAGCAGAAATGTTGGGTTCAATTGTGGTAAGTCAAGGACTACATATAGAGAACAGATGGTTCCCTTAACAACGGGGGACATTCCCTTAACGACCACAAACAACATCGTGAAATTGGGTCAGTCACAGGGGCAACTTACTTTACCACCATCGCGTGGGCGGCCTGCTTTACGACTGTCACACCTTTACGACCGCAATGGGCATGTTCTGTTACAGTCGTAAACCGAGGACTGTCTTTAAATGGGCGCCGTGTTGTGTGGATTTCACGCAAAAAACAAACAACAGGTGCCTAATCGAGTCCTGTTGTGTTTATCTTCCTTTTTTTCGCAATCGCATTAAACAAACACACTCACCCCCAAAGCAAAGGCTTGGGGATCAAAGCATTGGGCTGATCTCAGGGCGCCTGACTCCGCACCCCACTGCAGGGAGGGATTACTGGCTTCGGAGTCCGTCGGTGTTAAGCTGCTTCTGGCGGAAGGGAGTCACCTTGATTTCACATGCATTGTTGTGGAGATTATTTCATCAAGTGGCTTATTCCTCCTTGTCAGCAGTCCTCGACTTATGACCGTTCGTTTTAGGACATGGCTAAGGGCTTGTCCTACCACATACGTCTCTTCATTAGAGTTTTATCCGCCCTTAATTATTTTGTAAGTGATTCAAGGCAGTGAACATCCCTAATGCTCCTTCCTCCTCTTCTTTTCCCCCCACAACAACGGCCCTATGAGGTGGGGCAGAGAGAGGGTGTGGGGGTCTGGCCCAAAGTCACCCAGCTGGCTGTCATGTCCAAGGCGGAACTAGAACTCGCCACCTCCTGGTGATTGACCCAAAGTCACCTCTCCCTAGCCCTCCCTGTTTCCTCTTCCCCAACAGGCTTCGTCCTCTTCCTGTGTCTCGGGGTCCTGACCATGCTGCGCCCCAACATGTACTTCCTGGCGCCCCTGCAGGAGAAGGTGGTTTTCGGGATGTTCTTCCTAGGCGCCGTGCTATGTCTCAGCTTCTCCTGGCTGTTCCACACCGTCTACTGTCATTCGGAGAAGGTGTCACGGACGTTCTCCAAGTGAGTGCGCCCAGATGGGCTTCCCTAGGTCCGCTTCTTGTGTTTGGAGGTAGTCCTCGACTTATGATGGTTCACTTAGTGACCGTTCCAAATTACAACATCACTTGGGGAGAAAAAAGCGACTCAGGACTGTGTTTCACACTTATGAATGTCCGTCTATCATCCAGACTCAGACGCTCAGCAAGGAACTCGTACCTACGATGGTCGCGGCATCCCAGGGGTCAACGGCACTGGAAAAAGGGACTTAGGACCGTTTTTCACACTTACGACCGTGATGTGATCATAATTCGAATGCTTGTCAACCGACTCGTATTTATGACTGGCGGGGTTGACGTGATCCCCTTTTGGCGACCTCCTGACAAGCCGAGTCAACGGGGAAGCCAGATTCACTTAATGACCGTGTGACCCACTGAACAACGGCAGTGGTTCACTTAACGACTGTGGGGCAGAAATGTCGTAAAATGGAACAAAGCTCAGTCAACAGCTGTCTTGCTTAGCAACGTCAGTCGTGGGCTTGATTGTGGTCCTGAGTCAACGCCTGGCTGCAAACACGGGCCACTTGCCAAGCAGCCAAATAGGGATGATGTGATGGTCGTAAGTACAAGGACCCGGCTGATTAATACAGACAGTCCTTGACTTATGACCAGAAGTGGGAGCGAATTTCCATTGTTAAGCAAGGCAGTTAGGAAATGGGTGGGTGTTTTTTTGGCCTCGGTTATTTAGCAAATCTGTGAAGTTGTTAAGTGAGTTGCCTCATCATTAAGCTTATCTGGCTTACCCTGTAGACTCAGCTGGTCAGAACCCGGCAGGGAAGGCCATAAAACCGCAATCACGGGTCCCTGGGATGTTGTGACCATCATAAATATGACCCAGTTGCCCAGCGCTGGAGATTTTATCACAGGACCGTCATAAGTTTGAGCACCAGTGGCAAGTCCCTTTCTTTTTTTTTTAAGTACAGGTGGTCCTTGACTTGCGAACGTAATTGAGCTCAAAATTTTTGTTGCTAAGAGAGATATTGGTTGAATGGATTTTACTGTTTTATGACTTTTCCTGCCACCGTCATTAAGTGAATCACTGCCATTGATAAGTTAGTCACACGGTTGTTAAGTGAAATAGGCTTCCCCATTGCCTGTCAAAAGGTCACAAATGGGAATCCTGTGACTCCAGGAACTGCAACTGTCATAAGTATGAGTCAATTGCCGGGCATCTGAATGTCGTTCACATGACCATGGTCATAAGTGTGAAAACCGCTCATAACTCTAAAAAACGGTCAAAAGTGTGAAAAACTGTCATAACTCACATTTTTCAGTGCCACTGTAACACCAAACGGTCACTAAACAAACTGTTGTAAATCGAGATGACACCCTGGGCCAGAGATGTATAAACACTCTGAATCCCAGTCCAAAAATACAGAGTCCTCCACTTACGACCAGATTGGTGCCTCCCCAAAAATGGATATAATTGAAAATTTGTTAAGTGAGTTTTGTCCCGTGTTATGACGTTTCTTGCTGCAGTTGTTAAGGGAATCCCTGCTGTTGATACATTAGAAACCTTGTTGTTAAGTGAATCTGCAAATTGGAAAAGGGACTTTGTAGGTCATCTAGTCCAACCCCTTGAATGGTCACTAAAGGGACTGTTGTAAGTTTGGGGTTCCCTGTACTGTCGTAACCACCCGTGTTCATTAAGCAAATGGTCGTAAGGTGAGGACGGCCTGTAATATTTATTTATTTTTATTTTTTTTACAACACTGAGCCTGTTATCTCCATCGTAGGTTGGACTACTCAGGAATCGCCCTGCTGATTATGGGAAGTTTTGTCCCGTGGCTTTACTACTCCTTCTACTGCTCGCCCCAGCCGCGGCTCATCTATCTGTCCATCGTCTGCGTCCTGGGCATATCCGCCATTATCGTGGCCCAGTGGGATCGCTTCGCCACCCCCAAACACAGGCAGACCCGAGCAGGTATGGACGTTGTTTCCACTCCCAGACAGGGTGGATAAAAATCAATGATTTTTTTAAAAAAATCAAAAAAATCAGATTTTTTTTATTTAAATCAGATTTTTTTGAATTTTATCGAATTAATTTTAATAAAAGACTTTTGGGGTAAAAATCTATCGTAAGCTAGTTTTCTATTTAAGATACATAAATAATTTAGTTTATTCAGCATGAAATGGAGCTTAGTTATGTAGCACGAGGCGGTATATTCTGCAACACTGGGACTATCGGGGAGTCAACCGTGGGTCAAAGGAGTAGCAGAGATGGCAGTTGCTCTTTAAAAATTAGGATTTAAATCGAGTTGATTTAAATCAAGCCTTTTTACTAGTGATTTAAATCATGATTTAAATTGTGATTTAAATCAACTCGATTTAAATCAAATCCACCCTGCTCCCAGAACCCCCCAATTTGTACGCTGTAAGAAGGGAGGACTCCCACTCCCAGAATCCCCCAGCTGGAATGCTTTGAGAAGAGTGGACATTCGAGGCTAAGCTTTGACAAGAACACTTTACTCACATACCGACGGGCGTCTCTTTCCCTTCTCAGGGGTCTTCCTCGGGCTGGGCCTGAGCGGCGTGGTACCCACAATGCACTTCACCATCGCCGAGGGCTTCACCAAGGCCACCTCGGTGGGCCAGATGGGATGGTTCTTCCTGATGGCTGTGATGTACATCACCGGAGCCGGACTTTACGCAGCTCGTATTCCAGAAAGGTTCTTCCCGGGCAAATTTGACATCTGGGTGAGGTTTTTTTGGGGGGTGGAGTGATTTTCACAGGGTGGAGGAGACAGTGATGGGATTTATAGTTCGACCCACCTAGATGAGTTGAAAAAAACCAGTGACATGGCGGTCCTCATCTTACGACCAAAAGGAAGCCCATAACGGATTTCTTAAGTAAGAATTGGTTAAGTGAGTTTTGTCCCATTGTAAGACATTTCTTGCCACTGTTGTCAAGGGAATCCCTGCAGTTGATCAGTTAGTAACCTGGTCGTTAAGTGAATCTGGCTTTTTGTTTTTTTTTTTTTAATAGACTTTATTGAGATTTTTTACAGAACAAAAAGGAAAAAAATGAGAAAAACAAACAAACAAATAAACAAACAAACAAAACAATCATTCAAACAATAACATAGAGCACATAAATATAAATAACATTTTCAATTTGTATCGAATATGCAGTGTTTTAACTATTTACATAAATAATACTTATTGATATTTTGACTCACTTTTAACCAATATTTAACACACCTTTGATCTTTCTTCCATTTTATCATGCAACCACTTGTACCACCTTTCCCACACCATATAGTATACTGACTTTTCATCATTTAATTCATAAGTTAATTTAGTCATCTCTGCGCACTCAAGTATTTTCTTAATTGTAAGCTCTTCTGGTGGTTGAATTTTCTCTTTCCAAAACTGTGCGTATGCCAATCTAGCGGCTGTAATTATATGGATCATTAAATGTGTCATTTCCTTTCTATATGGCTTCTTTATTATTCCCAGGAGGAAAATCTCTGGTGTTAGTTCAACATCTTCCCCAATTATTTCGTGTAACCATCTCCTGATCTTACTCCAATATCCTTTTGCTTCCGGGCATGTCCACCACATGTGAAAGAAGGTGCCTTGGCCATGGCCGCATTTCCAACAATTGGGATGTATATTGGGATATATCTTTGCTAGTCTGGCCGGGGCTAGGTACCACCTATGAAGCATTTTGTAATGATTTTCCTTATATGCCACCGCTCTAGTCAATTTAAGATTTCTATTCCATGCCTCCTCCCATTCCCCGAAATTTATATTGCACCCTATATTTTTCTCCCATGCAATTATTTGATTCTTTGTAACATCTTCAAACTTCTCATCGCTTAGCAGATAATTGTATAATTTTGCCAGAATCTTTTTATTTGTTCCCATCAGGACTTTGTCCAATCCATTTGGTCCCGGTTCTATACCATATTGTTCTTTGTCCCTCTGATATCTGGATTTTACTTGTGAGTAGGTCCACCAATCTAAGGTTATTCCTTGCTCCCGTAAGATATCATTTGGTTTAAGCCTCCCTCCTTCGTCTAGAATATCTTTATATCTGGCCATTTTCTCCCTCTCCCACCTATTTGGGTGAGTCAGGGCCTCCATCGTTGAGAGCCAATTTGGGATTTTCTTGTAGTGTTTTTGTCTGATCTGGGTCCATGTTTGTATCAAGGAATCTCTAATTTTATGTCTATGGAAATGTGTCTTCTTTTTCCTCTCCATTTCCCAGATGTGGGCGTGCCAGCCTTTTTGCAAGTCATGGCCTTCTAGAGTAAGAATTCTCGCATTTTCCAGGGTGATCCAATCTCTTATCCAAACTAGCTTGGCTGACCTATAGTATGTTTCCCAATCCGGGAGTCCAAATCCACCTATATCTCTTTTGCCTCTTAAAATTTTAATGGAAAATCTCGGTTTTTTCCCCTCCCATATAAATTCTCTAATGATTTTATCTAATTCTAGAAAGAATTTTTTATCTAAATTTATTGGTATATTTTGGAATAGAAATAATATTCTGGGGAGGATGTTCATCTTAATTGTGGCTATCTTGCCCAAAAGTGATAATCTTATTTTTTTCCAGTTATCTAGGTCTTGTTTTATTTTTCTAATTAGGGGAATATAGTTATCGTCTTTCAGAGTCGAACATCTTGATGTAATCCAAATTCCTAAGTATTTAATTTTTTTGGCAACCTGTAGTCCTAATACTTCTTCTATCTCGTTTTGCTGACTCTCAGTTATGTTCTTAATCAATACTTTAGTTTTAGTTTTGTTCAATATGAAGCCTGCCACCTCTCCATATTTACTTAATTCCTCCAATACTTTAGGTCCCGACTCTATAGGGTCTTCAAGGATTAGGGCAACGTCATCTGCAAATGCTTGTGTCTTATAAGTCTCCTTCCTGATCTTCAATCCTTTTATTTCATTGTTAGCTCTAATTTTCCGTAGAAGGACTTCTAGGGCCAGAATGAACAATAGAGGGGATAGGGGACAGCCTTGCCTTACTCCCTTACTAATTTGGAATGTTTTAGTCCTATCCCCATTCACCAGGATACTCGCCTTTTGGTTGTTATAGATGGATTTGATCATCATTTCAAAATTTGTTCCGAATTTCATAATCTCAATTTGTTTAATCATAAATTTCCAATTTAGGTTGTCAAATGCCTTTTGAGCATCGACAAAGATCAGAGCCATCTGTTTTCCGGGGTGTTCCTCATAGTACTCTAGCGTATCTAGCACAATTCTCATGTTATCCCTAATTTGTCTCCCCGGTAAAAATCCGTTCTGGTCTTTATATATCCAATTATTTAAAATCTTTTTCATTCTTTCCGCAATTATGCCCATGAATAATTTGTAGTCCGTATTTAGAAGCGAAATTGGTCTGTAATTTTGAATTTGTTTTAGGTCGGCACCTTCTTTCGGCACGAGTGTGACATGCGCCTCTTTCCATGACTCTGGAATTTTATGGTCCAACAGTGCGTCATTAAAAATTTCTACTAATTTCGGTTGGAGTATTTCTTCTAATTTTTTTATATATTTCCCCTGGAAATCCGTCAGGTCCTGGGGCTTTATTGTTTTTCAATTTGGAGAGGGCTATTTTTAATTCTTCAATTGTAATCTTTCTATTAAGCATTTCTTTCTCTTCATCAGTTATTTGTGGGAGTTCTGCTTTTATCAAATACTTTTCTATTTTGTCATCTGATGTCTCCCCTTCTTTATATAGAGATTCGTAATATTCTCTCACCCTATCTCGTTTTTCTTCCTCGTTAGTCAATAATTTGCCCTTAGAGTCCTCTAAAGCAGTGGTCCCCAACCCCCGGTCCGCGGACCGGTGCCGGGCCGTGGAGTACCTGGCACCGGGCCGCGCAGCGGCCGGGGGACATGAACGCTGCAGCGCAAAGGCTCCTGGGCCGTGCGCAATGGGCCGTGTGCAAAAGCTCCTGGGCCGTGCCCCCACCCCTGCGCGCGCTCAGCGGGCCGCGGCGATAAAAAGGTTGGGGACCACTGCTCTAAAGTATGGATTATTCCCCTTTCATTTTCCTTTTTTAATTTATAGGCCAGCCACCTCCCCGATTTGTTAGTGTTCTCAAAAAGATATTGTTTCGTTCTTTTCATTCTTTGTGCTAACTCTTCTTGCTCCATGATATTTACTTTATGCTTCCACATCATCCAATTTTCTTTGGTTGCTTCATCTTCTGGATCATCTTGGAGTTTTCTTTCTGCTTCTCCTATATGATTTAAATAGTCTTCCAGGGTCTTCCTTTCTTGTTTATTTTTATGAGCGGTGTATGAAATCACAACTCCTCTCAGGTAGGCCTTCATTGTATCCCAAACTATTGCACGGGATGTGCCTTTATTTTCATTTTCCTTGAAAAAGAAATTTATTTCTTCTTTGAATTTTTGTATACAGTCCTTGTCGCCCAGTAATTTAGCATTGAACCTCCACCTCCGTTGGTATTTTCTCTGAACAGGCTTCCATCTAATCTCCAATGGATTATGGTCTGCCCAATCATTTGGGTTAATTACAGCTGTTCCAATTTCTAACCCCAAACTCCTACTGACCCATGCCATGTCAATTCTAGACCACGACTTTTGTGGGTTTGAAAAGAAGGTATATTGTCTGTCATTTGGGTGCAAGGTACGCCAGATGTCAATTAGATCCAATTCATCAACTAACTCAAAAAAAGCTCTCGGTAAATTTGTCCTTTTATTTTTTTTTACTTTATTGCTCTTGTGGTCCTTCTCCAGATCCACGATGCCATTAAAATCCCCTATCATACAGATTTCATTATACGCCATTTTCACTAATTGTTCATGAAGTTTCTTAAAAAATTCTCCCTGTTTTTTATTTGGGGCATAAATGCCCACTAATAATACCTTGGAATTCCCTCTCTTAATTTCAACCATAAGGATTCTACCCTTTGTATCTTTGAATTTCAATTCTGCTTCAATTCCTTTTTTTACGTAAATAGCCACCCCCCTCTTCTTTTTCTCTGCCAGCGAATCAAATGTTTGACCAAATTTTTTATATTCTAGACATTTACTTTCTTCTTTTTTTATGTGTACCTCTTGTAAACACATTATATCAACATTTTGTTTACCTAGTTTTGTTAATATTCTTTTCCTCTTTTTATATTCATTTAGTCCATTAACATTTACAGATATTAGCTTCAAGTCATTCATCTCTATACCCCTATCTGATTATTGGTTCTTGTTTGTTTCTTACGGCCCTTACTGGTCTTGCTTTCTTCTCTTTGGCTTCTTCTTCTTCTTCTGTCTTCTCCTCTACAGTTGCTTCGTTTGTGTTCTGTTGGTGTAGGGCTTCCTCCCCCACTACTGCTGTTTCTAGTTCTTCCTTGCTCCCCTGCTCTTCTTCCACACCTCTTAACTGGTCAAGGAAGTCTTGTGCTGTACTCAGGCTTTCTATTTTTATTTTTCTTCCTTGCCAGGTTATTAGCATCCCTTCTGGGAGAAGCCACCTAAATAGTATCTTTCTTTTATTCAACTGTATGGCCAAAAATCTATATCCCTTCCTCATCTCCCGGACTCTTCTTGGTATCTGTTTTAAAATTATTATTTCTTTTCCTCGGTATGTAATCTGTTCATCCCTTGCCATGTTGTAAAGAATATCTCTAACTTTTTTCCGTGCGAAGCGGATATGTACTTCTCTAGGAAGCTTGTTCCTTCTTGCATAGTTAGTCTGGACTCTATATACGTCG